ATTTTTATTTTATTTTATTTTATTTTATTTTATTTTTTTTGAGACAGAGTCTCACTTTTGTTGCCCAGGCTAGAGTGAGTGCTGTGGCATCAGCCTAGCTCACAGCAACCTCAAACTCCTGGGCTCAAGTGATCCTCCTGCCTCCAGCTCCCGAGTAAGCTGGGACTACAAGCATGCACACCATGCCTGGCTAATTTTTGTATATAATACTTTAGTTGGTCAATTAATTTCTTTCTATTTTTAGTAGAGACGGGGTCTCGCTCAGGCTGGTTTCGAACTCCCAACCTCAAGCAATCCGCCCACCTCGGCCTCCCAGAGTGCTAGGATTACAGGCGTGAGCCACCGCGCCCGGCAACTTAGAACTTTTTGAAACAGGAATATACAAGCACACATTCCATAGGAATAACCCAAATGTCCACTGACGGATGAATAGATTAAGATAATGTGATATGTACATACAAAGAAATATTTTTCAGCCTCAAAAAAGAAGGAAAGGCCAGGCACAGTGGCTTACGCCTGTAATCCTAGCACTCTGAGAGTCTGAGGCAGGAGGATCACTGAGGTCAAGAGTTTAAGACCAGCCTGAGCAAGAGTGAGACCCCCATCTCTACAAAAAATAGAGAAAAATTAGGCATGGTGGTGCACACCTATAGTCCCAGCTACTCAGGAGGCTGAGGCAGGAGGATCACTTGAGCCCAGGAATTTGAGGTTGCAGTGAGCTGTGATGCCACTGCACTCTAGCCGGGGCCACAGAGCAAGACACAGTCACAAAAAAAAAAAAAAAAAAACAGAGGAAATCGTACCATTTGTGACAACATGGATGAACCTGGAAGACATTATGCTAAGTGGAAAAAGCCAATCACAGAATAACACATACAACGATTACATTTATATGAGGTATCTAAAATAGTCAAACTCATGAAACCAGAGTATAAAATGGTGGTTGCCAGGGGCTGGGTGGAGAGGGAAATGAGGAGCTGTTGTCTAATAGATATAAAGTTTCAGTTCAAGATGAGTAAGTTCTAGGGATTTGCTGTGCAACGTAGTGCCTATAGATAACAGTAAGATATTGTGTACTTAAAATTTTGTCAGGCTGGGCGTGGTGGTTCATGCCTATAATCCTAGCACTCTGAGAGGCCAAGGCGGGCAGATCCTTTGAGCTCAGGAGTTGGAAACCACCCTGAGCAAGAGAGAGACCTCATCTCTACTAAAAAAATAGAAATTAGCTGGACAACTAAAAATACATATTTAAAAAATTAGCTGGGCATGGTGGTGCATGCCTATAGTCCCAGCTACTTGGGAGGCTGAGGCAGAAGGATTGCTTGAGCCCAGGAGTTTGAGGTTGCTGTGAGCTAGGCTACAGAAAAAAATTTTACCAAGAGGGTAGATCCCATGTTAAATGTTCTTACCACACACAAAAAAATCTCACAATGGGAAACAAGGAATCTTTTAGAGGTGATGGATATGTTTATCACCTTGATTGTGGTGTCATAGGTTTATGTGTATGTCCAAACTCATCAAATTGTGTACCTTAAACATGTGCATGTTTATATACCAAAAAGTATACAGAAAACTTTTTTGTAAAAAAAAAAATTGTAATGAATAAATATATTTCAAATAAGAAAAGAATATACAAACATACATTCCATTATTTGTCAGAGTGATGACATCACATGTAGCCTCTGGAAAACTCCACTAAGAGAATGAATGTGGAAAAGACAAATAATGTTTTAGTATCATTACGAATATAGTTTTGCCCTTATAGACCCTCGGAAGGATTTTGAGGACCCCTGCGTCTCCTTAGACCATACTCTGAGAACTGCTAACTATATGAAATTCTTAAAATTCATTTTATTAATAGTGGACATTTAGGTCATTTCAAGTTTCCTTTATTACAAACAACATTTCTATGAGCATTCTTTTACACGTATTCTGGTATACATGTGCAAGAATTTCTCTGGAGTTTATACCTAAGATTGGACTTACTGAATCATAGGATATATATATCTTCAGATTTATTAGATAATGCATGCATTGCCTCCCCCCAGGGAGTTTGTCTGGACTCAAATAAACATTCAGACTCAATAGGCCACACTGGACATCAAATATTACCTAACAGTCAGTATTTAAATTTGCAAATTTTTCTAATATCCTTTTCAAAGATTTTTTTTTCAATTCAGGCTTTAATACAAAATCATATATTATATTAGTTGTCCCACTTCAGTCTTCTGAATCTGAACTAGTTCCTCTGTCTTTTTATTTTCCATGATACTGACATTTTTAATGAGTACCAGGTCAGTTGTTTTGTTGAATATTTCTCAATTTTGGTTTGTCTGATTCAGGATACTGATTTTTGGCAGAGATACTGCATAGGTAATATGGTATCCTCGGTATATCACATCAGGAGACACATGATGTCAGTATGTCCCATTTGGGGTAATGTTGAGATGCTGCCTTTCATGCTTTCTTAAAATCCTTTTTTAACTTGGCTTCTGGGACATCACTCTTCTCATTTTCTTCTGGATTTACGGGCCACTCTTTAATCTCTTTTGCTGGATCCTCCTCTATTCTCCAACTTCTGAATGCTAGGGGTGACTCAGGAACAATCTTTTTTCTCTTTTCTTGACTATGTTCTCATACCTTATGAGATCTTACCTTGTCTCATGGCTTTACATAACAGTTATATACTAATAATTCTCAAATGTATATCTTCAGCCCCAGTGTTTCCCTTGAATTCCAGACTCATGTATACAATTGCCTAATTAACATCTACATATTTTGATATCTAGTAGCTATCTTATAAGAAACCATATATTAAAATCGAACTCTCCATCCTCTGTGCTATTGCTGTCACATAGTTTATTAATACATATATTATAAAACCTATAAGCCATTTTATTGTTGTTTTAAATAATTAATATTCTGTCATATCTGCTCACATATTTACCCCTTCTTATTCATATTTACTCTCTTCATTCCTTCCTGTAATTCTATGTAGATGTCTTGCACTTATTTCACTAAATGTTTGTCTTGCACATATTTCGCTGGAATTCCTTTGGCCTGAAGAACTTTATTTCTTGTAGTTAGGTCTGCTGATGACAAACCTTAGGTTGGTTTTTGTTTGTGTTTGTTTGCTTGTTTGTTTGTTTTTTTGAGCTAAAATCTTACTCTCTTGCCTGGCCTACAGTGTAGTGGCATCATCATAGCTCATTGCATCCTCAAACTCCTGGGCTCAAAAGATCTTCCTACCTCAGCCTCCCAAGTAGCTGGGACTACAGGCATGCACCACTACATCCAGCTAATTTTTCTATTTTTTTATAGAGAGGGGGTCTGGCTATATTGCTTAGGCTGGTCTCAAACTCCTGGCCTGAAGCAATCTTCCTGCCTCAGCCTCCCAAAGTGGTAGTATTATAGGCATGAGACACCATACCTGGCCAGACCTTAGCTTTGATTGTCTGAAAATGTCATTATTTTACCATCATTTCTGAGGGGTATTTTCACATTGCCAGTTTATTTCTTTTAGTCCTTTAAAGATGCCATACTACTGCTTCAGCCTTTTGTAGTTTTCTTAATAACTATTAATACAAAAAGCCTGAAGTCATCAATCTTATGGTTCCTCTTTTAAAAGTAATGCTTCTTTTTTCTCAGATTGCTTTTAAAAATTTATCTTTGTCTTCCTCTCTGTCTTTCATTTATATTTTATCTATCTTTTATTTTCAGTATTTTGACAGTGATATATCTTGGTATAGCTTTCTTTATATTTTTGCTGCTTATGGATTGGGAGTTCCTTGGATATCTTTTATTAGTCTTAGGAACATCTCATCCATTGTCTTTTCAAATATTGTTTTTTCCTCATTCTTTGTCTTCTCCCTCTGGGATTGCAGCCATTCATATTTTAGATCTATTGATTATGTCCACTTGCCTCTAATGTTCTAATCTGTTTTTCCATGTTTTCTCACTATATTTTACTTTGAATGTTTTTTATTGACTTTTCATCAAGTTCATTAATCCCTGCTGCTGGGTCTTGTCTGTCCTTAAACCCATTCAATGAGTTTTTAACTCCCTAATATTTTTTTTTTTAGTTTTATGATGTCCATTTAATTTTTTATATGGATTCTAACTTTTTGTGGGTATTATTTATCTTTTCTTAAATTTTGTTCATCTTATCCCCCATTTTCTTTAACATATTAATTATGTTTTTTAATCTATGTGTTTCATTATTTGGATCATATATGGGTCTACTTCTATTGCCTATATTTTCTCTAGATTACTGATCACACTGTTTTGCCTCTTTTTATATCTAATAATTTTTTATTGTGTGTTGGATATTTTATATAAAAGAACTGTTGAGGCTTCAGCTGATATTTTCCATCATAAAGAAATTTTTGTTTCCTCTGATAAGCTAATAGGATAAGGGCCTGATCACCTCAGCCTAATCATGGATTGAGCTAGACTGGGGGTGGGGGAGGTGGCTTCTAAGGTAGCTGACACTTTTATTTCCTGAGGGCATTTGCCAATTTTGGCCTGTGTAGAGGAGCACTACAGGGAGCAAGAGAAATCAGAGAGGCTACTGGGATGTACAGGAAACCTGAGGAGTCCCATTCATGTGGCCAGTTTTCTCCATGAGATATCTGCTGAATTGTAGGCTTGCACATTGGAGTTTTGAAGTTAGGTTGAGAGTTTCTAAGAGCCATTCCAACTCTGAGCCTATGGTTCTGTTTATATGCTTCAACTTTGACTTGGTCACAATACTTCTCTAAGATGGCTTGGGGAGAAAATTCAATATTTTTTCTGCATCTGCCAGAAATAATTTAAAACTTCCAATTCCAGTCAATGTAAATTCAGTTTTCTTGTGAGATTTTCTAAACATATAGGTCAGATGCCAGGAAACTAGCTTCTTTGAACAAAACTAAGCAGAAGTAGCAAGTCCTTTTTTACTTTTTGGCTGGGATGAGAATGCAGGGAAGGAGAGGGTGATAGAATGAGTCTTTTTCTTGCAGTTGTGATTCCAAAGAATCCCTATCCTGCGTCTGATGTGAACACTGAGAAGCCCAGCATCCACAGCAGCACCAAATCTGTCTTGGAGCATCAACCAGGGCAGAGGGGACGTAAACCAGCAAAGAAGCGGGGCCGGACACCCAAGACCCTAATTCCCCATCCCATCTCTGCCCCATCCAAGTCACCTGAACCTTTGAAATTCCCAAAGAAGAGGGGTCCCAAACCTGGCAGTAAGGTAGGTAAAAATATGGGTTTCCCAGAAAGGGATAAGGGGCTACAAAGGGGTAATTAATTCATATCCATCCATCTTGGAAAGGGGCCTATCTGGCCCTCTCCATCTTATGTATGCTTTTAAGAGGACTCTCCTAGATTGTCATTCCTACCTAGCTACATACCTAGGAGTAGGTAGTATGAGAGATAGGATAGTGGGAATGGAAAACAAATCTTAACTTTGAAAGGTACTTGCATTCAAGCAGATTCTGGTCCAATGTAGATGGAAGTCTACATAGACCGGAATCTAGTCTAATGCAGATGGATTCTGGTCTAATGTAGGAAGACCCTGTTCTTTTTTAACTTTCCCAGAGTGGATGCTAGCATGTGAACACAAAGAATAGATTAACTCCATAAATGTATTTTTTTTACTACCTCTACCCCTTCTTAAGAAATAAATTTAAGGCCTACTAAATGTCAGGCTCTGTATTGGATGCCATTTTACATATATGTGTATATATATATATATATATATATATATATACACACACACACACATACATATATCCTATATGATCTTCACAAAACCCTAGGAGATAAGTAATGTTAACATTATTTTATAGTTTAATAAATTGAGACTTAGAGATGTGAAATGATTTCCCTAAGGTCACATAGCTAGTAATTGGCAAAGGCTGCAGTGATGTGATCCTAAGGTCACATAGCTAGTAATTGGCAAAGGCTGCAGTAATCCCCAAATCTTCTAGTTCCAAGATGACTGCTGCCCTACTGTGTGAAATGTGAAAATCTTTCACATTTCCTGAGGGACATAAACACTCACCTCTCGTGTTGGGAAAGACTGCTAAGTCAGCTTCACTGAGCACTGTTTACTGAAAGTACTACCTTTTAGTCCTGGCTAGTTTTTCACAGGCCTCTTCCCTAGGGAAAGCATTGATAGGGAAAGAAGGCTTCTCTGCAGCTTCTAAAGGGCCTGCTTCAGCATTACCTCCTCACTCACTGTCAGAGAAATTTCTCTGAATCTCCTTCCTGAACAAAAATACCTGAATTCCAGTGTGGAAAATCATACCCAGTTCTCCCAGGACTTTCCACTCCAATCTCATAAATTATTCCCTAGAGTTGGTTGGTTGGTTGGTTGGTCTGTTTGTTTTGTTTGTTTATTAGCTCCTGCTGACTTCAGTCCATGTAGAATATAAGCTCCTCAAGGAGCCTTTTCTTCTCTTTTTCTCCTGCAGTGCCTTATATCTCAATCTCTTGGGAAATGTTCAGAATATGCAAGATGGGTGAGTGGATGGATGGATGGATGAATGGATGATTTTAGTGATGATGTTACTAATCTCAGTTGTCTCTTATTTTGGGCTTTGAGTTCTGAATGTCACCTCCTGAGCTCCCTGTGTAACACATAGTGCTTCTTTTGCACTATTACCACTAAGCTCTCACTGGGTCCTGATTTGTTTTTGTCTCCATTACCCTCCCCTCTCATTCTTATGTTGTAGAGGAGAGGCTGTAAGCCCTAAGGATAACAAGGGCAGAGAGCCATGCTTTAGATGATGTGAAGACATCTTGAGGACAATCAGAAAAAGGAGAAAACTTATCTGGGGGGCTCCAAAGATAGAATCAGAACTAATAAACAGAAAATCAAGCAGACGGGCTTTGTTTCAACATAAGAACAGTTAAATCTATCCCAAAATGAAAGTAGTAAGCTCCTATGACTACTGATATTTTATCACAGACTGGATGACTCTGTGGAAAGGATGCTTTCAGGGAGAGTGAATTGGAAGTATTGGTTAGATGGTTGGATTAAATGGTCTTTAAGATCCTTCAAAATCCAAGAACTTCAACCTCTGTGGAAAACAATATGGAGATACCTTAAAGCGATACAAGTGAATCTACCATTTGATCCAGTAATCCCATTGCTGGGCATCTACCCAAAAGATCCAATGACACTCTACAAAAAAGACACCTGCACTCGAATGTTTATAGCAGCACAATTCATAATTGCAAGGCTGTGGAAACAGCCCAAGTGCCCATCAATCCAAGAATGGATTAATAAAATGTGGTATATGTATACCATAGAGTACTATTCAGCTCTAAGAAATAACAGTGATATAGCACATCTTATATTTTCCTGGCTAGAGATGGAACCCATACTACTAAGTGAAGTTTCCCAAGAATGGAAAAACAAGCACCACATATACTCACCAGCAAATTGGTATTAACTGAGCAGCACCTAAGTGGACACATAGGTACTACAGTAATAGAGTATTGGGCAGGGGGGAGGGGGGCAGGTATATACATATATAATGAGTGAGATGTGCACCATCTGGGGGATGGTCATGCTGGAGACTCAGACTTGTGGGGGGAGGGAGGGAATGGGCATTTATTGAAACCTTAAAATCCGTACCCCCACAATATGCTGAAATTAAAAAAAAAAAAAATCCAAGAACTATGATCCTGTGATTGCCTCTGCTCTGGTCCCTCAGGAAGTCTTGAACATAGCACCAAAGTCCTCTTTCTTTCCAACCCACTTTAAAAAATCATTCTCATCCTGTATTTTATGTCCTAGCATTTGACTCCTTAATTCCCCTTCCTGTTCTTTTGCCTACTCCTACAGGTGTACATGCCTTCCACTTCACCAGTGAGCATTATACTCCTTTTTGAAATAAAGTAGTCTGTGGCTAGAGCATAGAAGCCAGACAGACTTGAGTGTAGATCCCATTTCTGTTTGTTACCACCTGGATGACTTTGGGAAAGTTTCTTTGAGGCTCTGAGACCTAGTTTTCTCACCTATAAAGTGGAGATGAAGTAATGTATGAATAGATATAATACATGTTAAATCCACCTATCTCAAATAGTAATAATGCCTTCTATCTCTCTGTTTTCTTCTACAATATTCAGACACCTAACTCACCAGGCTTATTCCTTTAGGGACCCCCTGAAATCCTACCACCACCTTATTGAAGTTGAACTGGTATTTCCCTTCTTCCCTGACTCATTACTTTTTTGGACTTTCACTTTTAGCAATATCAAAAAATATGAGCAAGTGTCCATGTTTAATGTGTGTTATGAATGCTTCATGAGAGTTTGCATGATTGTTTTCACAGGCAAGGCCATCTTATGTATGCCTGCTGTTACCAGTGCTGTCTCTGTAGAGAATACACTCCTAGAAGGTAGACAGGTTTATGTAGCTCTAGCAGTGGACCCTGCATGAGGCATGTAGAAAAAAGGAATTTGGGATCCCAATGACAGTTATGTTTTCCTTGTATTCAGAAAGGCTTTTAGAAAACTTTTTCTAGAAAAAATTTTCTGAGATCTTTCTCCCCCAGAACTTCCCTGTACAGCATAGAGAAGATATTAGATTTCTCTCAAATCATCTTTATCACTTCCCTAGTATTGGTTATCTACACTGTATGCATCATAAAAAACATGATTAACACTTACATGCCAAGTACCGTGCTAAGAATGAAACTCAGAATCAGACCTTCAAGGAGCTCCAGTCTAATAGGGACACCAGTTTGTAAACATACAATGACAATACATTGACAAATGCAACAATACAAAATACAGAGTAGCACAAAAGAAACAATAATTAGAGGAAAAGAGGAAAACTAGAAAAGCTTCCTAGATGAACAGATATTTGTAAGATAAATAAAAGAAGAAAGGGCATTTCAGGCAGAAGGGATAGCTTATTTATTGTAAAGATGTGGACTAGGTCAAACTGCAGGATTTTTAGAGAAGTAATAGAGATTTACTAGAGTGGGAGGTTTAAGGGAAGGAATGACAGGTAAGTCATTCCTGAAGAGGGAGGTAGGCAGAAGAAAGTCATTTGTAGAATTAGGAAAAGAGTCGTTTACATTTTTAAAGACAGGGGAACAAAGTAAAAAGTAATGTCAAGGTAGAGTTAAACCATAACATATTTTTTTCCACTTTGCTTTTGTCTGCCTAACGGTTAACTTCAATGATAATATTGAATCTAGTATAAAAGATAGTGCATTAAGCTCTGGCTTTACAGAAGACCAGAATCTTGTACATAGATTCAGAAAATGTTTACTAAGCATCTACTCCAGGTACATGTATAGCTTTAGGCCAGGTGGGTGTGTGGAAAACAAATATAACACACAATCCATTCATAAATATATTTTTGTTTCATGGGTGAATTTAGTGCCAAGAATAGAAGAATGAAAAGACAAGTTACCTGTCATGAATAACAAACTTTTCCCCATCCATTTTGACAGAGGAAACCTCGGACTTTGCTGAACCCACCACCCACCTCACCAACAACAAGCACCCCTGAACCGGATACCAGCACTGTACCCCAGGATGCTGCCACCATCCCCAGCTCAGCCATGCAGGCCCCCACAGGTGAGAGCAGATGATGGGACTACCTACAACAAGCCCAGGCCCCAGTGTCTGCACTTTTTCTTGTCTTACACCAAATTAGCCCCCTCTCTGTTTGTAAACCTAGGTAGAATCTTTTAAAATCTTTTTATCTTTGGCATTGAAATAGTTTCAGAGAAACAAAGAAACTTTGATAAGTGTTCTGTGAACTCAGGGTTGGGGAACTGGAGCTGGATCAGCGCCAGGAGCTCTTTTGCCCACTTTAGAATAATTCTCATCCTTCTTAGTGATTCCTTCCACCTTCCAGAACCCTTCCAGCATTCCAATAATGGTGTCACTGTTCAAATATGTGTGAAATTCCTCTGATCCTTTTTTAAACAATCATTCATGTTGGCAAACCTTGGTACAGTGAGAGTAAACTTTATTTTGGAGACCAGCCAATGAATGGTTGATTTAAAGCAAAATCTAGTGGTTGAAGTAGGTGGGTAATCAACCTGGATTATGCATATCTGTTCCCATTTCATAAACTGTCTATGACAGTACTAAAAGAACTACCCCTTTAGAATAGATACACAACCTACCAAAGAGGTAACTGTAAAGAACAATACTCATTTTTATGTGTAAATTAAGATACATGTGTGAAACCTTGCTCTGTTACTGTGGAGACACTCTGTCTTCTTCTGGAAAGTCTAAGCTATTGGAATCATCCCCATGGAAGTTAGGTAGTCTTTCTCTTAGAAGAAGTTGAATATGTCTCTGCCCAAATCCTAGAATGTTAGAGCTTGAAGGGAAGGCCCGGCCATAGTTTCCTCTCCAAATAATCTTCAGAAAATTACAGAGCCTGCCTGTAGCATGTATGTCCAGCTCAGGGTTCTATCACATGACTTTTCCAAATGTGTCATCTCTATCTAGCTCCAGCCAGTCATTGGGTTGGCTTAGTCCAAGAGTATCGTTAGATTGTCCCTGAGCTCAATAGATAAGGAAGTAAGGACAGATGAGCACCTTGGTGAAAATACTGATTGTACATTTCCCAACTTCATGACATGCTCCCTAGAAGCCTGTATACTTGCTTAGTTTATCCCACATCATTGTAGATACCACTTAGGTGCCTATTCAACAAGACCTAGAAGACCCATAGCAGCAGGTGTTTCGTGTCTATGCCTTACTATGTCTTTTAAATGGTGCATACCATTGCCTGCAGTCACTGGGCTGGTGTCCCTCCATTAGCCTGAATCTCATAGCTCAAAGTGGGAACTTACTCTGTAATATATCTGTGTCTTATGGTCAGGCTATAACAGTCTTTACTGATAATTGTTTCACCATCTTTTGTTGGCCCTTTATTCACTTTATGTGACCTTGACATGACTTACTTGTCTAAACTTCAGTTCTTCATAGTCTTCATTATTTAAACGGAATTCTATGACCCACACTTGTATTCTTTATTATCTACTTTTCTTTTTTTAACTATATAACACTTTTTAAAAGGTATTTTGATTTTTATCAGAGTTATACACGTTCAAAGTTTAAAAGAATGAAAGGTCTACAAAACATATTACAAAACAAAACAGACCCCTGTCAATTACTTCTCCCCAAAACTAATCACTTTCAATTTAACTGATACTTTATCTCTGTATCTAAATAACATGTTTATATTGCTATCTTTTTTAACTTTAGGCATTTTTCTACTGACTACCCACTTTAAAAGATAAGGATTTAACTCTTCTTAATTTCCTTGCCCCTTACCCACTCACATATACTTTGCTACCCCTATTCTATGATGTTATAATTTTGAATAGATCAAAATTTGGTGTTTTATTATTGTGACTAGTCAAATACTATTCTCGGTTGAGCCATGTATACTATGATTACTTTTCATTTGTTTCGCAACATTTTGTTTTCAGGGGCAGGCAATCTTGTTGATTTCTTTGTTATATGTCTATTTTTCTGTGTACTTGTTATTAATTCAATCTTAAACTCTTTTCTTACTATCTCTCTCTCTTTTTTTCCCTCCTCCTTTGCTGGCAAAGTATATATATCTCTCTTCATATCCAAGCACAATTATATATTCTATCCATGTCATACACTAGAAGAAATCTCTCCTGGAGACTTGGTTTCTTTAGATTCTGTTCACCTCTCTCTTTAGATTCCCAATTTGCTGTTTTGCATGTCTTTGTTTTCTCACGTATACCTTTCTTAAATTTGCATCTTTTTTTGTGAAACCTATTTATTTTCTTTGAAGCTTCTCTTTATCCCAGTATCCTGAAAATTCACTTTGGATAGTATTTTTACCTATTATACTGGACACTTTCATTTTATGAAATTTTAAAAAATTCTTTCATCAATGATTTTCTCCCACTTCTTTTTCTGTATTCATTCTTTCTGGCATACCTGTTATTCAGATGTTGGACCTCTTGAACTTGTCCTCTAATACTTATATCCTTCTTTATTCTTAACCTTATTCTCTTTGTCTTTCTAGTCAACTTTCTTCAAGTTTTTCTCATCTCTAGCTTCCAAACTTTGTATTGAGTTTTTCATTTCTGACATCTTACTTTTTAAATTATAGTTATTTACTACCCCAGTGGCATTTTCCACAGTGGTGAAAACACCAGTCCTGCAAAATTCTCTACAGAAAAGGATTTTACATACATTTTGGTAATTCAGTCATGTACATGTAGGAAATGTTTACACTCTCCTTCCCCATGCTTGGAGATTTACATCTGCTATTAAGAGCATTTTTTTGTTCTCTGAATTTTTTAAATAGATGTTATTTGTTTAGAGCAGTTTTAGATTCATGGCAAAATTGATGGGAGGTACAGAGATTTTACATATACTCCCTGCCCCCACACATGTATAGCCTTCCCTCCACCAACATCCCCCACCAGAGTGGTACATTTGTTACAAACTGATGAGCTTACATTGACTCATTATCGTCACCTTACGTCCATAGTTTGCATTTGGCTTCACTCTTGGTGTTTTACATTATATGGGTTTTAACAAATATATACTGACATGTGTCTACCACCATAATATCATACAAACTAGTATCACTGCCCTAAAAAATCCTCTTTGCCCTGCCTGTTCATCACTCTCTCCCCCTCAACCTTAAGCAACCACTGATCTTTTTACTGTCTCCATAGTTTTGCCTTTTCTAGACTGTTATATAGTTGGAATCATACAGTATATAGCCTTTTCAGATTGGCTTCTTTTGCTTACTGATATGCATTTAAACTTCTTCCATGTCTTTTCATGGCTTGATAGCTCATCTCTTTTTAGCACTGAAGAATATTTCTTTGTCTGGATGTACCACAGTTTATTATCCATTCATATACTGTAGGATGTCTTGGTTGCCTCCAAGTTTTGGCAATTATGAATAAAGCTGCTGTAAACATCTGTGTACAAGTTTTTGTGTGGATGTAAGTTTTCAACTCCTACGGATAAATACCAAGGAGCACAACTTCTGGATTGAATAGTAAGAGTATGTTTAGTCTTGTAAGTAACCACCAAATTATCTTCCAAAGTGGCTGTACAATTTTGTATTCCTACTAGCAATGAATGATAGTTCCTGTTGTATCTTCCTGAAGAATTGACCTCTTTATCATTATGTAGTGTCCCTCTCTTTTCCTAATGATTCTTCTTGCTCTGAAGTCTGCTCTGTCTGAAATTAATATAGCTACTTCCACTTTCTTTTCATTAGTGTTAGCATGGTATATTTTCTCTACCCATTTGCTTTTAATCTGCGTCTTTATATTTAAACTGAGTTTCTTGTAGACAATAAATAGTTAGGTCTTGTTTTATGATCCAGTCTGAGAATCTCTCTTAATTGATATTTGGACATTTAAACCAACTATTGACACAATTGGATTAATATCTATCATATGTGTTACTGTTTTCTATTTGTTGCCCCTTTTTGTTCCTATTTTTGTCTTCAACTCTTTTCTGCCTTTTGTGATTTTTTTTAATTTTTTTTTTTTTTTTGAGACAGAGTCTCGCTTTCTTGCCTAGGCTAGAGTGAGTGCCGTGGCGTCAGCCTAGCTCACAGCAACCTCAAACTCCTGGGCTCAAGCGATCCTCCTGCCTCAGCCTCCCGAGTAGCTGGGACTACAGGCACAAGCCACCATGCCCGGCTGATTTTTATATATATATATATTAGTTGGCCAATTAATTTCTTTCTATTTTTATGGTAGAGACGGGGTCTCGCTCAGGCTGGTTTTGAACTCCTGACCTTGAGCAATCCGCCCGCCTCGGCCTCCCAGAGTGCTAGGATTACAGGCGTGAGCCACCGCGCCCGGCCTAATTTTTTTTTTTTAAGAGACAGGTTCTCATTCTGTTACCCAGGCTGGAATGCAGTGGCATGATCATAGCTCACTGTAACTTCAAATTCCTGGGCTCAAGTGATCCTTCTGCCTCACCTTCCCAAGTAACTGGGACTACAGGCACATGTCCCTACACCTGGCTAATTTTTTTTTTTTTTTTTTTGAGACAAGGTCTTACTATGTTGCCCAGGCTGGTCTTGAACTCCTAGCCTCATGCAGTTCTCTAAACCTCATCCTCCCACAGTGCTGGAATTACAGGCATAAGCTACCACACCCGGCCCTTTTGTGATTTTAATTGAGCATTTTATATATTTATTTTCTCCCCTTTTTTAGCATAGCAGTATATTTTTTACTTTTTGGGGGGTTATTCTAGAGTTTGAAATATACACCTACAACTAATCCAAGTACACATTCAAATAACACTATACCAGTTCACAGGTAGTATGACTACCTTATAATACTAATTTCTCTCTCCTATCCCTGTGTGATTGATGTTAATTATTTCGCTTATAAATAAGCACCCAGGGAAATTCTCAGTAATTATTGCTTCAGTTCCTTTCTTCCTTCTCCTTCTGTGGTTACCATTATACATATATTACACCTTTTGTATTAAATAGTTATCCCACAGTTCTTAGATGTTCTGTTCTGGGTTTTTTCAGTCTTTTTTTCTTTTGCTTTTAATTTTGGAAGTTTCTATTGAGATATCCTCAAGCTCAGCAATCCTTTCCTTAGCCATGTCTATTCTAGTAATGAGCCAGTCAAAGGCATTCTTCATTTTTGTTACAGTGTTTCTTATCTCTAGTATTTCTTCTTTATTTTTTCTTAGAATTTCCATCTCCCTGCTTACATTGTCCATCTGTTCTTGTGCTCTACTTTATCCATTAGAGCCCTTAGCATATTAATCATAATTATTTTAAATTCTTAATCTGATCATTCCAGCATCTCTGCCATAACTGAGTCTGCTTCTGATACCTGCTCTGTTTTTGAAACTGTGTTTTTTTGTCTTTGAGTACACCTATACCTTGTAATTTTTTTGTGATCATTAGACACGACGTACTTGGTAAAAGTAACTATGGCAAATGGGCCTGTAGTGATGGGTGGTAAGGTGTGGGGAAAGGGAGAGCATTCTATAGTCCTATGATTAGGTGCTAGTCTTTTAGTGAGCCTGTGCCCCCCTGGGTTGTGAATTTCACAAGAGATTCTCAGTTCCCCACCCCCAACCTCCCTTATGTTGGACAGAATAGCTAGAGTGACCTGGAATAGGGTATTTCCCTTCTCCCACATGGCGGGCTAGAGTTGGCTAGAATTGATTATTCCTCTTCCTTCAAGTCAGTTAGGCTCTGAAAAACCTTTCGTAGTTTGGGCTGTGGTAAAATAGTTTCTCCTGAGGAAAGACCTTGTTAAGAAGAACAGAGTTCTCTGGTCTATTTCAAAATGGTTCCTTTTCCCCTCCCCCTGCCAGAAGCATAAGGAGATTTTTCCTCCAATATTTATTGTGAGAACCTGATTGAGCTCCTCGAGTTAAAACTAACAAAAGTGTGCCCATTCCCCAAATCCCCGCATAACTGGGGCTCCCTGGAGTTTTTAACATCAGACTTGTCCACACTGAGCCTCTAGCAGTTCATCAAGTACATTTTAGGTTCCTGCCTAATTCAACAGAGGTTTCTGCCCCAGCAGAAACTGATTCAATAGAGGTTTGAATTCAACAGAGGTTTGAATTCAACAGAGGTTTCTGCTCCAGTAAGTTGTGATTCTCTATATTTACCTCTCTGTCTCTTCAGATTTTGGGGGCGGTGGTTTGCCCTGTAACCTCGCTTCTCTAACAGATCTAAGAAAGATTAATTTTTAAGTTTATTCATCTTTTTACTTGTTGTTAGGATGGAATGGTGTATTCCAGGCTCCTTATGTGCCAGACCTTTCTCTGAATTTTTTAACAGTTTCCAATTCTGATTTTATGGATACAGTAGAAAACCTAAACATGACAGTATACAAAAATATCCTTATGACCTCAAGATCAGGAAGGATTTCTAAAACCAGACAATAAGCATAAACTAAAAGAAAATATCAGTATATTCTACTATATTAAAATTAATACACCTCATCTCAGCTCCACATGGTATCATTTGGGGTGGCTCAACTGAGGCTAAGGATCATTTATTCACATAAATAGCAAAACAGGTCCTGTCTAATGGTTCTTCTACACAAGGACCTCTCCAAAAGGTATCTTGGGCTCCCTCATACCATGGTGGCTGGGTTCCAAGGACAAGTGTCCCAAGAAACAGGCAGTGGAAACTACCATTTTCTTCAGGCCTGAGCCCCAGACTTAGCATAGCATCATTTCCACCTTATTGACCATTCACAGAACCCAGATACAAGTCGAGGGGAATAGACCCCACCGTCAATGGGAGAGAGGTGAAAGAATTATAGACCATAGTTTAAAACCACTACTCTGTGGATATAAATTATTATTAACATTTTCCCACTTGCAAAATTTATTCTTCCCCCACAAGATTTCCCGTCAAAAGTCTCATCCTTTACAGCATCCGGCTCAAGGTCTAGGATCTCATCATCTGAATCAGGTCCAGGTAAATATAAGGCCTCTTGGGTGTGGTTTCTCAGGTTTTCTCCTTGAGTGTGGTTCTTTTCTGTCTGAAGACTTGTGAACTAAAGAAATAAGTTGTGTGCTCACAACATGCCCAACATACAGTGGTGGATAGGCATAAGGAAACTTTTATCTCCCATTCAAAACGGAGAAAAACTGGAGGCACACAGCAGTCACTGGTCTATAGAAATTCTGAAATCCAACTGGGCATGTGTTGCTAACTCCTTGATAAAGTTCAAAATTACCTGGGAGGTATTTTTCATGGCTTTTGGTTTTGTTCTCTGAATCATCCTTCCTTTTCCATAAGAAAACTGAGGTTGCCTTCTTAGTCTTCTTCCTGCCTGGAAAACGTTGTACATCCAAAGGATTCTTTACATTTTGTACCATCTTTGTTCCTTTTCATCCAAGTTGTCAATGCATCTGCTGGAATGATTCTCTTAGAAATTTGAAGGGTTTTTTTTGAATACTGTTAGCGTTCATATCAAAATTCTGTTTATTACAGAATAAACTGTTATGAACATTTTTGTAAGTATCTTTTCATAGACAATTATCTTATTTTTATTATTATTCTTATCTCCTTGAGTTTTCCTGCATTTTTAGTTGTCTTCAGTAGAAAAGTCACATTATCAGACATAGAAATCCTGTTTAACAGACCTCAGTCAGTCCTTCTCTTTGTATATCTCCCTTCACACTCATTTTCAGAGGTATCTACTCTGATAATTCTTAGGCCTTTTGTAAATTATAAGATGAAATAGCATGGCTCTCATCATTCCACATTCCTGCTTTGAGGTATGCAGCTTTCTTGGGTCTCCTAAATCAGTTGCTACCTTTCCAGTCTGCTTTCCAGCTTCCAAAATTTTATTGCTGTCTCCTCACTTAGTATCTAGATCATTTTAGTGAGTTTTAAGGAAAGAAGGGAGTAAAATGTATATGTCCAATGCATCCTGTTTACCCTTGCTTTTTTTTTTTTGCTTTTTTTTTTTCTCCTGTCACCTTCCACATCCTGCCTCTCATTTTCTATTTTCTTCCATCTGTGTTGCTTCTCCTTAGAATTACAAGGTGGAGAGTCCTTAGAGAGCATCTGGCTCAGCCCCCTTCATTTGAACCTGAGACCCAAAGAGGATGACAGACCATCCACTGGCCACACACTTACTACTGTTATATTTTTTGCCTTTAATAGCAAAGGGACTTTTACCTTCATATCCCTTCAGTTAGGAGCCACAGCTGTGTGAGAAAGCAGCATACCCCCTACTCAAATGGGAGCCCAGAAGGTAGATCGGAGGAGAGAATGCTATTGCGCTGACCAGGCTGCTGTGGGTCTTCTCCAGAGAACAAGGAAACAATTCCATTTAGGACTGCCTCGTTCTTCTGTGGCCACCCTACCTATCCCCACCACAGGGCCAAGTGTAGGACAGCAACTAGGAGGATGCCTGGCTGACTTGACAGGAGAAACTACTGAATCAAACAAATATATAGATGGGACACTTGGGCTCTTTTCCTTTCTTTATTTTCTTTATTCTAACTTTTTTTAATTTTTACTACTTTCTTTGGGCCTGAATGTTGATGCAGAAGATAAGAAAGTGTGGCTGGGTGTGGCAGCTCACACCTGTAATCCCAGCACTTTGGGAGTCCGAGGCGGGAGGACTACTTGAGGCCAGGGGTTTGAGACCAGCCTAAGCAAGAACAAGACCCCCATCTCCACAAAAAATAGAAACATTAGCCAGGTGAGGTGGCGCACACCTGTAGTCCCAACTACTCAGGAGTGTGAGGCAGGAGGATCACTTGAGCCTAGGAGTTGGAGGTTGCCGTGAGCTGTGATAAGGCCACTGTAGGCTATGCTAGCAAGGGCAACAGAGCAAGACACTGTCTACAAAAAAAAAAAAGTGACTCTAGGCCCAGGCAAGTGATCAGTGGTATGACCATTCTCAGTCCAATGCTAAACATATGCACACACACACATGAACACTCTTGCTAATATTTCCATGGCCCCATAATCCCTTATACATATAAGGTGAAAGGTACAAAGAATATATGAAGCAACCAAGTACAGAAAACGGAAATACGTACATCTGGGGAATTGTTTAGATTTTCTTTTCAGTACATGGAAGACAAAGTGCAAATTTTGTGCCTTGGCTTTTTTTCTGGGCTGTTCTCCCAGTGGACTGTGTTCCCAGAGCCTTTGGTCATGCAATTTTGATTGGCAACAGCTGGGCACAGTCTTTTCCTGACCCACACACCCACAGTGTTTCTCCAGCTTAGCTGCTAGGCATTCTGCTAGGGACCAGGGTCCAGGGTGTAAAAGATGGAATAGAATACTGTTCTTTGACTTCTCTACCCCAGAGACTCCTTGAGCTTCTTTGATTCTTTGTCTCCTGTAGTTTGTATCTACTTGAACAAGAATGGCAGCACAGGCCCCCACTTAGATAAGAAGAAGATCCAGCAACTCCCTGACCATTTTGGGCCAGCCCGCGCCTCTGTGGTGTTACAACAGGCTGTCCAGGCTTGCATCGACTGTGCTTATCACCAGAAAACTGTCTTCAGCTTCCTCAAACAGGGCCACGGTGGTGAGGTTATCTCAGGTAAGCACCCTTGGGTTGGTATTGCCTCCAAGTCAGAGAAGCAGGCCTTCTCCATTGGCTGATTTCTGACAGCACATCCCGGTTCCTATTTCACAGTTACAGGCTCTGGAGAAACATGAAGATATTCCATCCCTCACTTCCAGAGAATCCTCACTTCCAACTCCCAGATGCCCTCTGAGCCTTCCCATAGCTCTGCCAACGAGAATACCTGCACAGATTCTGCTTAACTGAGCCTTTAAACAGATTCCTTTTCTGTCTGCCTGTTTTAACTTCTCCCATACAGAAAATATAGGCGTGTGTTGCTTTTAAGCCATTACAGAAGAAAGAATTTAGAAGAGGCTATATTATGGCAACTTTCTCCAGACTACCACAGCCTCCCACCCGGCTTCAGTTAACCACTGAACTCTTCTCTCATCCCTTTAGCTCCTTAGCTACCCTGTCCTAAACCAGGCCCAATAGAAGAAGGTTAAATCCTAGGGCAGAATGAGAAGAGCCATCCCCTCTTTCTTTCCTGCTATAAGAGTTTATTTGATAGCACTGAGTTTTTTGCTCTCACTGAGAATATTCATTTTTTTCTGCTGTGCCCTGCTTCTGTTTCAGTTCTTCTAAATCCAAAACCTTATTCTTTACCCACTAAACATATCAAAACTAGACAGAGAGGCTTTCAATCTTAACTGTGTTGCTATTCTATCCCCTGCCCCTCCTTCCTAACCAGTTGCAGTAACCAGCTTCAGGAAACCCAGCTGACATGAAAGACCCCGTAAATAACCAAACTGTATTCTTTCAGCAAACATTTGCTGAGCCCTATCTGTGTGTCAGGTTATTGCCAGATGCTGGCAGGGAGAGGCAGGAGATAGAGGATGTCAGGCTTAGGCTCTGCACCAGTGGAAATGAAAGAATGTAAATAGCTAACTGTGAGAAGTGTTGTAAGAGAGAAATGTGTGCAGAGTGGTGTGGGAGTCCAGATTACAGAGTAATTGATAGATGGAGCAGACAAAGATGGAATATTATGGGAGACTAGGAACTGCTTGGGAAATTAAGCCTCATGTCCCTTCTGAAGCCCAAGCTACTCCCTGGACTCTTTCTGCTTCTGTGCAGCAGTCCGCAGAGACCGGCCTTCTTTGCTACCTCTCTTCAGCTGCTGTTACCTTTACCCCCTAGGGTTCTTCCTCTGCCCCAAAATTGGTTCCCAAGAATGACCTATCTCCCCCAATCCCCATTTTCTTGCTGTCCTCAGAGACAAATACATAGGCCTTTTCCTTTTTAAGAATTATACTAATACATATTTTAATAGAAATAGAAAGTAAAGTAAAACCAAGCATGAAACAGTTCCAAATGTTGCAATTGTATACCCAAAACATTGCTGGCAATAGCTGTATTCCCCTCTTCTTCCCAGCTTCTCTGTTCTTAGGCAGTTCTTGTGAAAATAGCATCCTAAATGAACAGGTGTGAATTCTCCCAGTGTGAATTTCCTGGAGGAGGCCCAGCCAAGTGATGGAGCAGATACAATTATGTTCGCAGTTGTTTTCACAGGTTGAATGAAATCATTCCAGAGCCCTGAGTGCAACAGACCTGGCCTGGCCACTCCCATAATTGCAAGCCCTTTGGAGTTGGAGGCAAAAATCAAAGCCCTTGAGGGAGGGAGGGGAGAGAGGGAGGGAAAAAACCTGAGGCACTGATTCCCTTTGTGTAACCAGGTAAGCCTGAGACAAGCAGTGGGCCGGACTCCTCCTGCCCAGCGCTGCACTGCTGGGCTGACGTGCTTGGCTCTGTTTACTTAACTTCACAGCCGTGTTTGACCGGGAACAGCACACCCTCAACCTCCCAGCAGTCAACAGCATCACCTACGTCCTCCGCTTCCTGGAGAAACTCTGCCACAACCTTCGTAGTGACAATCTGTTTGGCAACCAGCCCTTTACACAGACTCACTTGTCACTCACTTCCACAGAGTACGGCCACAGGCACGACAGGTACCTACCAGGTAGGAGCTGGGATGGGACCTGGGCTGAGAGTTGGGGATGGGGCTAGCAGCAGTACCTGTGGGGGCCCAGGGCCAGCACTCAGACCTGCTGACCTGGTACCTACTATCCAGAGGTCTGGTTTTCTTTCCCTTACCTTTACCATATCTGAACGTTTAGGTTTCTCTCATCTTTACTTTCTCTTCAGGATTTTGTTTTCTATCTCTAGGATTACTCTTATCTCTTCTGGACTCTTATCCCTAGAAAAAGGTGATTTATGATTCCTCCTCTGAGCTCCAGACTGCATGTGGACCCCTGTGAAGTCACAGTACATACCCAATGTGAATATAGCAGCAAAGGCCTAGCAGTGACTTCCCCTGCCAGCAGGAAGGTTTAGTCTCAGGCTACAGATTGAGAAATTTGCTCCCTGGTGATTGGCCATCCATTCTTTCCTTTGGCACATGGCCCTAACTCTCCCAGCACTGCCAGTCTAGCAAGTTGATTCAAGTTCCTGCTGTTTCTAACTAGGCTGAAAAATAACTTTCTCGGTTAACATACCAGACCCACAATGGGAAAGTAGATGCCACGTGGCCAGATCAGTGACTAACTACTTCTGAGAGAGGTTAAAGAAATGGAACTCGGCTTCTCTAACCTGGAGCCCAAGACACAGAACAAGAGAGAGGGAAGGTAACATAGCAAGGTAGGTCATTGTTGAGAGAGGGAAGAAAGGCCCTTTTAAAGAGTCCTGCAGACTGTGTTCTCAGCAGAGGAGTAGAGAGCGGGGCTGTCCTGTCTGATGATGAGAGGGCACAAGCCTAAAAGTCGCCCCTTCTCACCTTCCTCTGTACAAGTCTTGTGCCCACATCGTCTTCCCTGGTATCTTTTCATCATAGTCTCAATAGAATCATCTCCGATAAAAGTGCTGGGAAGTGACTATTCACCCAGTCCTTCTTCTCCCTTTCCCCAAGAGTGGGAGAAGAAGTCCCACTCTTCTCCCTTTCCCCAAGATTATACTTCTGCACCCAGATATTGCTTTTGTGACTTGCAAGCAGGGTAAAAAGATACCTGAATTTGAAATCCTCCTTGTAGAGGCCAAATCATCTGGTCCCTGCAGCTATTTCTGTGACTTCCTGGCTAATCCTTTTCTTCAGAGGGAACTTCTTTTCACCTAACCTACTCTAGACTGCTTTCTTTCAGCATCAGAATCTCTAAGAACAGAAAAAAGGTGTCTTACTTGCAGTTAGAATGTTGCACTGGGAGTCTGGATGGGGCATGGTGGAGGTGATACAGACAAAGGCAAGTTGTTAAATATCCCCAGCTGTTGGCATTCAGGAACTCTGGTCTGTATTTCAGTTATGAAAGTTAGGCCTACCTGAGATTCTGAAAGAATGGAAACAAAAGAGGAGGTAGGATGTCTATGGGAGTAACTGCTAGTCTAAAGAGAGATTTCTCAAAGAAACAGGAACTCAAAATTCTTAAATAGAATACTGTCATTAAGAAGTGAGAGAAATATACTGGTAGCAGCATTCAGAGACTGGTAGGGGTACACCTCATGGGCCTGTAGTCCTGAAGGTTTGAGATTGAAGCATGCCCTTTCCTGGGAATTCTGTTCAATTTTACATCTCTCTGATTCAATTACTAGATAAGAGGAAGTGAGCTTTAACCAAACTCCTCTTCTTGCCTCACCAGCTAAGAAAGAGACAAAGACCAAGGATATCACATTCTGCCATTGGCTGACACCTTTTCTTTGCCCTGTTTTCAGACAGATTGAGCCAACCCTGTGCATCCTCCTCTGCTCTCTAAGCTCTGTTTCTCATAACGGGTGCTCAGCAACTTATCTGCTCTCACCCTAGTTTCTCTTTGCCTCCCTGAAATGAGCATTTTAACTGTGCCCAGACAAGCCAGAGACTTGCCTAAACCACTCTGTGTTCCTTAGCTTATCTTTTCTGCCTACCTACCCACCTACCTGCCTTACTGACCCTTGGCCCCGCCTCTGATCATTTATCACTTCCTGCGTTTTTCTGATTGTTTACCCAAACCTCTGCCAAAGAGCTCAATCTATACAAGAGTTGTCTTTTGCTTTGCCCTTTGGATCTGGTATTTTCCTGTCCTTCTGCCTGGCTACACCCTTCTACTAGTTTCACATCCACAGGTACCACCTCTGTTATCTGGGTGCTTACTGGAACCTTCTACCCCTTCTACAACCTTGTCTCTGCACTACCTGCCAATTATGGCCTTAGCCCAACTGACCATGTACTTCCAATATAGCAGATAGTCACTAAAAGCTGAGGTAGATTTCATATCCCATTAACTTCCATACCTAAGTTGAAACTATTAGCTTTTTCTCCAGTGTTTTATTTTGAAAAATTATTTCAAGCCTACAGAAAAGTTACAAAAATAGTACAGTGAGGAACCATGAACTGTTTATCTAGATTTACCACTTAACGTTTTGCAATATTTACTTTGTCTCTAAGTTTGTGTGTGTATATATATATATCTGTATCTGTACACTTATATATATTTTTTGTTTATGTACAAATCACTTGAGAGTTAATTGCAGATGAGACTTTATCCTTAAATATTTCTGTGTATATCTCATAAGAATAAGGAGTATAATATTATAAGAAATTTAACATTAATAAACTACTAAAGAAATTTGATTAATAAAATACTACTAGCTAATATACAGTACCTATTAGAATTTTCCCCAGCGATCCCAATAATATCTTTTATAGCTGATTTTTTCCTAATTCGGGATCCAATAAAGGATCATCCCCTGCATTACATTGTACTTTCTCTTTAATTTTCTTTACCTAGAACAGTTCTCCAGCCTTTTTTTTTTCCTATCTTGCATGACATGACGTTGGTATTTTGAAGAATCTAGACCAAGTGTTTTGGTTTAGGTCATCAAACATTTATCAAATACTTATTCTGTGCCAGATTCTATCCTGGACTCTAGGGAGACAGAGATGAAGCAGACTCCATCCTGCACTCAAAAGAGCTGAGAGAGGGAGAAATAGGCAAACATGTAAGTGGTAAGAGCAGGGAGCAGTGGTATTTCGGCCAGCCAGGTGTGATGAGCCTCGAGTAAGGTGAAAGAAGTGGTCAGGGGAGGATTCCTGGGGGAGGCAATGTCAAAGCAGAGTCCCTTTTGCAGAACTACACACATGGCTGGATCCAATAAGAGGCTTGTGAAGACTAAGTAAGAGCAGTTTCTTCTGGCCCCCTAAAAAATTGACAGTATTAGGCAGGAGATTGTATTGATGTTGCTGGTCCCAGTGATGTAATGACCTTGCCTAGTCCAGGTGCCACCAGTTCAGATTTTTAGACCTCTCAACTCAGAATCCAGATCTCAGTTAGCATTCTTACCATTGCTAAGAGGAAGAGACACCCACTGAGTTGCATCAGCATCTAGTGAGCCCCTATGATAATGATGCCATCATCACTATAATTATTTTTCACATCTTTTAGCTCATGTGAGGCAGGTATACTATCCCCAGTTTTTTCTGAGTAAAGTGATGGCTAAAAAGATGAGATTACCCTGCTGGTAAGTGCAGAAACTGAATAAAACCTTGAATTGTCACAGAGAGTTGAGGTTTGCCACTTCAACTCTGAAAAACAAAGTAATTCCTCATATTCATAAAGTCTAGCCCATTCCATTTTCTCATGAAAAGGGGTGAATTTTCCCCATCTTACAGATAAGAAAACTGGTGCTCAGAGAAGACAAGCTACTTGTGTAGGATCACTAATCTAGTGAAAGGCAAATGCCCAGGTGTAGAACCCAGCTCTCCTGCCTCCTGGATTGGGTTCCTGTTCATGTCTCAAAGTGGAACACTGTTCATCTTTCCTGGAAAGCAGGAATCAGAAACCTCATCCTGCAGAAAAGGGTGGGAGATGGTTTAGGTATCATGGAGCCTCAGAGACTACTCTTTTCAGAACCACTTCTAGGAAAGGGCTTCAACAATTTAACCTCCCTGAGATATGGGTGAATAGCTGTCTAATGCTAGATTTGACTTTGAGACCATGGTAACCAAGCAATTTTAGGTGAGTATTAAAGTATTCCTAAAATCCTAAACCATCTTGCCACTGAGGTCTTACTGCATGCCAGACAACAGCATGCTTGAATTTAGTGTTCATCAGAGGCTCTGAATAAATCCCAAGCATTATCTAAACACCTGATCTCTAAGAAAAATCACAAAGGACAGTGTTATGATCAGTACCCAAGACAACCTGCCACCCCACACCACAAACAGAGAATGCTGTGGCCAGAGCTAAGGAACTGACTTGGTTTCAGTAGAACCCAATCATGAGTCTGCTTCAGGTTCCATAGCACAGTGTTTGGGCACTGCTGCCTGACTAGTTGGGCTATGGACTTAGTATAGAAACATCAGGGTGAGATTCCATTTACAAAGGTTTTCATAGCCATTCTCTTCTAATATTCACAATCCCCTGGGAAGAAAGGGGTTCCCATGTTATAGATGAGGAGACTGAGGTTCTCAGAGAAGCACTCTGCTGCATGGCAGAGCCAAATTCTAACACTCATTCTGGTCTCCATGCCCAAGCAATGTACAACCCCGGATTCCTTGAAACGTTTCTGTAGAACAGGGAAAATACAAAAGGAGGGAGGGAATACAGGAGCAGATCCTTTGCTGACAAGCCTTTAACCAGGCATCAAGAAACATTTCTGACCGGGCGCGGTGGCTCACGCCTGTAATCCTAGCACTTTGGGAGGCCGAGGCGGGCGGATCGCTCAAGGTCAGGAGTTCAAAACCAGCCTGAGCGAGACCCCGTCTCTACCAAAAATAGAAAGAAATTAATTGACCAACTAAAAATATATATACAAAAAATTAGCTGGGCATGGTGGCACATGCCTGTAGTCCCAGCTACTCGGGAGGCTGAGGCAGTAGGATCGCTGAGCCCAGGAGTTTGAGGTTGCTGTGAGCTAGGCTGACGCCATGGCACTCACTCTAGCCCGGGCAACAAAGAGAGACTCTGTCTCAAAAAAAAAGAAACATTTCTGAGATGTCCTGCTGCTGGAGCAGGGGACAGCTTCTAAAGTACATCTGAATTCTTCTAAAGTACATCTAAGCAAATGTATTTCTTCTCCAGTACCTCTAATCGCTGCTCTAGCATCTCATGTCAAAGACAGTTTCTTCTAACCTAGAATAGCTCCATTTTTAAAGGTTTCCCTTGTCCAGAAAAAGCATAGGGCATCCAGACCAGAAGAAACCTCAAAGACCATCTAGTCTAAGAGGAAGATTCTAAGGAGATCCAAGTCCAGAGAGTGGCACTGAACTTGACTGAGATCACCTGTTGAGAGCCAGAGCCATGACCGGTATACAGGCCTCCTACGTCCCAGCCTAGAGTTTTCTATTTTGCTATCTCTTGCTCCACGCAAACAGGTACCTGGGAGCCAGCACTCTGGCAGTTCTTCTAAGCTCTAACCCTGGTTTTACTGCTTTTCAGGTGACTCCTTTGTCCTGGGGAATAGTCTAGCCCGGTCCTTGGAGCCACACTCAGATTCAATGGACTCCACCCTGAATCCCACCAACCTTGTCAGCACCTCCCAGAATCTTCGAACTCCTGCCTACCGGCCCTTGCTTCCATCTTGTGGACTCCCACTGAGTACGGCCTCAGCTATGCGCAGGCTGTGCTCCAAGGGTAAGCTTACCAGAGTTCTGGCCCTCCTGTCCTCCGTTACTCCTTCCTTCCTTTCCTTCCTGAGCTCTGGGAGGCCAGAGAGGACCTGGCTCCATTGCCCCCCACCTGGTGGTGAGATTGGGGACTGGGCTTACCTGTACCTGGCCAGGCACCTGAGAGGTAATTGGAGCTCTGGGACTGGCTTGAGAATAATGTAAATTAAGAGCCAAAGACCTAGAGCCAAAAGGGACAAAAAAGGATTCATCCATTCATCCATTAGCCATTTATTTGAACACCATCTGTGTTTGGCATGGGGATGCAAAAATCGATCACTTTTTGTCCTCAGGTGTCATGGGGGAGACAAACACTTAAGCAGATCATTGTAAAACCCTGTCTCAAGTACAGTGACAGAGATATGCTGTGAGTAGTATGAAAACAGCAAGAAGGGAGACTTAACCCAAGCTTAGTGTTCAAGGGAAGCTTCCTTAAAGAAGTGACAACTTGCCTGACACTATATAGATGGCCATATCAGGGGAAGTAGAGGAGGGAGAGTTTTCCAGGAAGAGGGGACAACATGAATAAGGGCAAAGGGATATGAAATAGCACAGATTGGAACAGGAATTGCATGCAATTTGAAAATGCCGAAACATAAAATGTAATACTGGGACTTCAAAGAGAAAAGCCTGGAAAGGTGAGAGCTTATATCATGGAAGACCTTAAATGCCATGCTAAAGAGTTTAGACTTGATCCTGTAGGCATTGTGAAGCTACTGAAGGCTTTTAATTAAAGGTAATTCATGAACAGTTTTGTGTTTTGAATAGATCATTCACTGCTGTGTTGAGTGTGGATTTGAGGAGAGATAAGACTAGAGTGACCAGTTGGGAGGTTCCTAGAGTAGGCCAGGCCAGAAGTGACAAAGGTCTGGAGTAAGGCAAGTTAGAAGGTTTGGAGAAGAGAAAATGGATTTTAAAACTGTTCATAAGGCATATTTAATCAGAGTTCAGGATTGTGAGGAAAATGGGAGTGGGCAATGTCTCCTAGGTTTCTAGATGTGGAGGTGAAAGCCCCTGGAGGCATGGTAGGTGAATGGGTTGCCTCTGAGGATTATGGCAGGAATTGTGGTGGAACAGAAGGTGTAGTGAGCTAAGTACCAAAAAGTCTTCATTTAACAAGAGTAGAAATCCAGAGATCTATAGATAACAGTGACCAGGAAGAGCAGTTAGTTGAGTACATGAACAGTCTCTGAAGCCCATGAGTTTTCATAAGAGGATGGTCTAGAAGCAGCAGTGAAAAGCCAGAATAATGTCACCTCTACACCTCTTTTCTGCCCTCCCCCAGCCCAGGGGTGTGTGAGGCTTGAAAGAATAAGAAGACTCCATTGGCAAAGCCTGCAATGAAAAGTGGTCTCAGCGGGGAGAGAGCTTTCTTGAAGGTTGACACTGAGGAAGAAGCCTGGGGTGCCCTTCACCCCATTGTAGCCCCAGTGAGGCAGCAAAATGGAGTATAAAGAGCTCTCAAGAAGAGGTAGAGCTGAGGGCTGATTCTAGCCTCAGCTCCCTTGCCTTGAGACTTGGGTGAGTCTTCTCACCTTTCAGGTCTTCCTCATATGCAAAATGGAAGTAGTGATACCAGCTGGGCCTTTCCACAGGAATGTTAAATGAATTAAACCAAAGAAGGGATATGAAATCATTTTGGAAACTAAGTCATTCTCAGGTATGACGGGAGTTACCATTATTGTTACCTTTCCCAATGCCCTGTTTCTGGTAGGAGCACCTCACAATAGGCTGCCTCACATGACGCTGTTGTCTCCTAAACGTCTTCTCTTTTCCTTTGGAACCCATTGTGAGTCTCTCTCTGCCTAGTCATGGTCTCAATCTCTTTTGACCCTGATAACCTCCTAAGGCTACAAGAGGATTCTATTTGGTTAGCCCTAGAATCGTTTATCTCAAAGAATTTAGATGTTGTGTCTGTCCCCACTCTTATTTCACTAATCCAGGATGGTTAGGCATGACCATATTAGTTAGCCTTTTGTCAATGTGCCTCACCTGCCTTAATCATTCTCAGACTGAGACAATCATTCCTCCTTGAAGAGCAACTGCCAGCTGTACACATTGAGGGCCTATAAGGGAGTGCCCTGGGCTAGGATGTCTGCAGAAATGGGAATTGAAGACAGATAAGGAAGTCACTTCACCTCTCTGTTCCCTCAGTTCCCTCCTCTCTAAACTAAAGATGGTAAGAATACTTCCTTGAAGGACTAGGGTAAAGGTCAGATGAGCTGACAATGGTGGGGGTTCTTTATAATTTCTAGAATATTACTCATAACATCAGAGACTTTTCACCACTCCCACCCTGGCGCATGCCCCAGTTGTCTCTTGCCTAGATTATTACAACAGCCTCCTTCTTAACTGGTCTCCCTTGCTTCTGTCCTTGCTCCCCAAAGTCTACTGTTGATATGGACCATGAGCGTGAATCGTCTTGTTAGGGTGGCGAACTTAGTAGGTGTTCACAGTGCAAATGGAGAAAAATTTCTCACGCAGAGCTTAGGAGATAGATATAGATATGTTAAAAAGTTTATTTTATCTTCTTAGAAGGAGAGACAGAATGAGAGAGGGAGAGCAGGGAGACAATGTGGCATCCCAAAGAAAGAGAAGGGGGCACTAGCACTGAGGCCAGTGGCTTGCTGATTTTATGAGGACAAAGAGAAAGGGAAAAAAATAGTGATTGTTGTGAGAAACTTACTTTCTTCCTGGGGGTGAGCTGATAACAGAAACAGTGAGGATATCAAAGTGCAAGAGTTGGCCCTCCTGTCTTTCCTTGGAGAAGGGATTATCGGGATCATTGCAGGAGATATGGCTCTGCCCTTGAGATATGGCTGAAGCCTGAAGCTTGTACCCTACTGTTCACTCAGGAATTCTGTAAAAACAGATCCTCAAAAGCAATTTTAAGAGAGAAAGATTTACATCTCTTTTCTGTCTATTCAGCTCTTTTCAAAGTTGTGCAAAAGAGAACTCAGAGTGCCCATTAGTGAAAGAACTCATAGGATTGATCTTTAACTGTTACTAAGAAATTGCAGGATTAGATATTTTCCTGTTAATTTTGCAAGGCTGCCCCTTTCACTTCTCATTGTAAGTTGATTCATGTTACTCTTCTGCTCAAAATCTACCTGTTTAACTCAGAAAAACCAGTGGTTTTCAGTGGTCTACAGGGTCCTCTACTGTTTGTACCACCACTTCCTTCTGCCACTCAACACACACATACATGCCTCTTGGATCTTATTTCATACCACTTTCTCCTTCTTTCACTCTGCCATGACCCGTTGGCGTTCCTGCTAAACCATCAACATGCCATTCACTCTTCTGCCTCAAGATCTTTGCTCAAATGTCATCATTTCGGAGATGTCTCTCTTGACCGCCGTATAAATGAGCTACTTCCCATCCACCTGCCCTCATGGAGTTTATACTCTAATGGGAGTAGGGCAGACAAACACATAAATATATGAAAGTATTATATACGTGGATTGTCTTAGTCTGTTTGGGCTGCTATAACAAAATACCATAAATTTAGTGGCATATAAACAATAGAAATTTATTTCTCAGTTTTGGAGACTGAGAAGTCCAAGATCAAGGTACCAACAGATTTGCTGTCTGATGAGGACCTGCTTCCTAGTTCATAGACGGCCATCTTCTCACTGTAACCTCACACGGCTGAAGGGGCAAGGGACCTCTCTCAGGCCTCTTTTATAAGTACTGATCTTATTCATGATGGCTCTGCCCGAAAGTCCTACCTCCTAAAACCATCACTGTAGGGGTTAGGATTTAACATAAGAATTTTGGAGGAATACATATTCAGTCTACAGCATACTGTGTGTGTGTATATATATATATGTTTATATATATAGTACTATTTTATATATAATTCCTAGCCCCTGATTAGAGGAATTAACTAAGATGGTCCAAGAAGACACATGCATATACACTCTCTCCCTGTGCCTTCTCTCTGCTCTCCAGAGTCTCTGCAGTTGGTTTCTCTCTTAGAATCACGGTGGACTTTTTAGGTCAGGGAGAAGTGACTGGCTTACAGAGCCCCCTTCAGCTTCCTGTCTACTAACACCTCTAAAAAGCCATTGGGATTTCTATGGCTCTAATCTAAACAGCCCCTGCTTACTAGGATAGCACACTTCTCCCCAATCTAGTCAGTGCCCAGCAGCAAGTTTGAAAGACAATATGCTAGAGAATCTCTTCCCCAGAAAGCAGGGACTGGGCTGCACTGGGCCAGGCCAGGCAAAGTATGCTTTAAGTTTTAGACCTGAGACCCAGAATGAAGGAACATGGGAGGAGAGTCTTAGCCTTTGCAGGAGATAGTTAAAGATTAGACCCTTCTACTTTCACAGGTATGTTAGCTCTGCCACTTGGTAGTTGTGTGACAGGGCATCTCGTGATGCTGAGGATGTAGACATGAGCAAGGCAAGAACCCTGCCTCAATAAAGACATTCTGGTTGGAGAGACAGAAAAATACATAAGTAACTGTTTTATATGATCTTTCATTTATCTAACAAATGTGTTTGAACATCTATGACAGACCAGGCACTCTCTTATGTCAGAGATATAGAAGGGAGCAAGACAGAGCTTACATTCTATAGGGAGGAGATCATAAACATAAAATAAATGAATACATGAAATTACTTTATGTAATAATGTATGCTGTGGAAGAAAAAAACTAGGGTAATTGGATTGAGAATGATTATGTGAGTAATTGAGTAGAGTACTTGTACCAGGAGATCAGAGAAGGCCTCTCTGAGGAATTGATATTTGAGATGAGACCATAATGTTGAGAAGGAGTCAGGCATGAAAAGATAAGGAAAAAGAGCATTCTAGACAGAGGAAATTGCAAACCAAAGAATAAATAGCTTGGCCTATTCAAGAAGCAGAAAGAAGGCTAGTGTGTTTATAGCATGGCGAGGAAGGATGACTCATGAGGTGAGGTGGGTGCAGAGTGTGAAATGAGGCCAGAGGTAGGAAGGACCTCACAGTGGAGTGCCTCGCAGACCATGGTAAGCGTGGAAAGGAATTCAGATTTCATTTCATGTGCAATGAGATGCCATTGCATTGAGTTTTTAGAAGATAACTGATGTGATTTAATTACTGCTTTTTAAAGGTTCCTTTGGTTGCATTATGGTGAATAGATTACTAGGGTGGTATGATGGTAGGAAAATGTATACAGAATGAGCTATAATCGAGAGATACACTAAGTACTTTGTGAGACCATTTATTTCCAGATTAGATGAGAAGTTTCATAAACGAGCTGGTACTTGAAGCCAACACCTGCTTAGCTAAGGTGGAGTTAGCCCAAAGAAATGGAGAAATTGAAAGGAGAGGAGATATATTCCAGGCAGAGGAGATAAAACATATAGGAGATCTGTGACAGATGATGATCAAAATACAGAGATTCCCAAATCCCACAGGGGAAGGGGGCGGAGTTATATTTGAGCCAAAATTGAGATAAAAGCTCTAAGCATAGCACTGAATTACCATTGAGATTCCTGGCAGCCAAGCAAAAAGTGTTTTCTGCCTTAGTGTGTCAGGTTGTAGTGAGGTCAGCTAATTCTCCAGGCATTGGAAGAGAATCCAGGGTATTATCTGCTATATTTTTCTCCCCACATACCAAAGATTTGTCTCCAATTTTACCTAGCTACCAGGGTCTCCCTAGAAATGGTTCCCCAGAGCCAAGGCAAAAGCAGCCCCACTCACCAGCCCCCTACTGAATCCAAGTAATCCCTTTACCACATTGTACCCCTATCTCAGGTTCAGGCTGAATCACAGCCTCCATGCAAGATTTCTTCTATTTCCAAAAATCAAACTACCCTTAAATAACAAAGATTTGACTTTCCCTTTGTGGAAAAACTCTTCCCTCCCTAGGCTTTCTCCAGTTCCTCTGCTCGTGGTCTAGCACTGCTGTGAGCATTACCTGTAAGGCCATTGAGATGTGCCAAGGAGACTGGTGGGGATTTACATACCAGTCCCCACCTGTTATGGTAGGTGCCCTCCTGTCCTGCAGGGTCGGACCGATACCTGGAAAGCGGGGATGCCTCTCGACTGAGTGGCCGGGACCCCTCCTCATGGACAGTGGAGGACGTGATGCAGTTTGTCCGGGAAGCTGATCCTCAGCTTGGACCCCACGCTGACCTCTTTCGCAAACACGTAGGTGCCCCTCCCTGACCTCTCCCACATTCACTGGGAGTTTTGCTTCTGCAACTTGTAGACTCTGAAGGGGCATTGGCTACGTATTCCAGGTCCCTTGAAACTAAACACAAGAGATATCGTAAACACTTAAAAACAGAATCCTGGGTCTCAAACAGACCTCATCAAACACTGTGTTCAGCTCACTCTTTTAGTGTAGGATGTGATACAGCCTCGTTGCTACTGGATTTGTGTTTGGCTTGGGGTACTCAGTTCCAGGGACAGGGATTTCAGTCTCTTCTCCCAGGAGTGCTTGCTCTCCCATCTGCCTGCCTTGGCATGAAAATCAAGGGCCTCAGCCCAAGTTAAAGAGTCCCTTGCCAGGTGACCCCCAACTCTCCACCCTCATTGGTCCCCCATCATCTGCTTCCACTCCATGAATTCCCAACATCTATTCAAGTGACCATTTGGCTCCATGGCCAGGGATTGCTCCTGACTCCCCTGCTGTGACCATATTCCTGATTTGGGTCTCCAGCCGCTTCCCACAGCCCTTGCTGCTTGGTGCTGTCCTCCGTGTGGGTAGCAGAGCAGGTCTGCTACCTTTGTGATCACTTCAGTCCTTCACACCAGATGGGCATGGAGGGGACTCTTTGATCACAGCTGCTCAGTATGTGCCTCCCTTGTGCCTAGCTCATGCAAAGGGGTCTCTGCTGCTCAGCAAAGATAGTGACTCATAGAATTTTATATTGAAGGTCAATAGGAAAACCACTGATGACATTACAAGAATAGGCCCACAGACTGGGGAGGCTTCCTGGGCGAGCTGGGGTTGAGCTGGGCCTCAGCGGGTTGGGCGGGTGGGAGACTGCCTCTCAGGCAGCAGAGAAGGGAGGTGGTACAAGTGTGTGTGGAGAACCTAACCTGGTGGGTTCAGCAGTAGATGTTTGCAAAGGAGAGACACTTAGAGACAAAAGGTAAGGAGAACAGGTAGGCTTCAGTGTCACAGCAGGTTAACCAGACTGGACTCTTATCTGTTTGGTACTTCCATGGGTGGCCTTTAATCAGACTCTGATGGAAACCCCCCCCCTCCACTTCTGCCCCCTTCCCAACCCCCTAGGAGATTGATGGCAAGGCCCTGCTGCTGCTGCGCAGTGACATGATGATGAAGTACATGGGTCTGAAGCTGGGGCCCGCACTCAAGCTCTCCTACCACATTGACCGGCTAAAGCAGGGCAAGTTTTGAACGGAGAGATGCAGCCTCAACAACTGAGCAGTCACACAGGTGGGGGCAGTCTTCTCCCAGGAAGGAGGGCCATCAGCCCTCTCCCAGGCGCCTCAGTGGGGTTCCAGACCACCTCAGGACTCTAGGAGGCTGTGCGGAGCCACCACTGCTACCCTTCCATTTGTCCTTCCATGAAGGACTGAGGAGGGGAGAGTGTGGGGCCCAGGGCTGGCGCTGCTCTTCCCCTCAGCCCTGCCAGGGCTCTGAGGTCCCCCTCTATTTATTTCTCAAACCTGGCCAGCCTCTCACCAGGAGTTTAGACTGAACACCTTCCAAGTGTTGGAGGACGAGGCCAGCTCTAGGGCCTTGGAAGACAGGTCCCTGAATTGACGCTCACACCCAGGCCCCCAACCACTGCCTGGGCTTGGTGTGACCACCATCGCCCCACAGCCCCTGCCTTCTCACCAGATCCCCAGACTCTAAACTCATGGTGCAGACCTCTACCTTTTAAAAAAATATATAAAATCTTTTCTTACTGTTAATTTATTGTTTCTGGCACTTGGGCAAACCCTCTAGTTAATACTCTTCTCACACCAGACACTGGGTTTCAGGAGGAGGGAGACTGCCTGCCTTGGTCCCAGAGGCCCTCTCCATGCAGGCACGGCCCCTTTTCAGAGGACACTGCTCTAGGGCATTTTCTCTTTGGAATGGACAGACATGTAAAGCCTGGACCATGTCACTCAGTATGGTAAGGAACAGGTTCCTGTCACCTTCCCCTGTCTTTCTCTACTGGGACCTTTGTAGCCCTAGGCCTCATCTGTGGGAATGAGAGTCCCTTGCTTCTTACTGTCATCCACCACAGCTCCTTGCTCTGGCCAGAATTGCTGCCGAAGAAGATGGTCCCAATGATTTTAGGCCAAGAAGGCCTTAAGGGGGATGGGAAGGAAGGGTCTCCACCCACTCTGCTGTCCCTATGCTTCCTTGTAAGCAAGTCAGCAGCACAGCTGTTCCCACTGCCATCTGGATTTATTTTATGTCAATTTGTTTATAAATAAAAGCCAATATAGATGCCAGCGTCTTTTTAATCAGTTGACAGCCAAATCACTATGCATTCAATGGTCAGATCACTCCCCTTCTCTTGATCTTAGTTTTCTCATATACAAAATGAGTATCTTAGACAAGATTATCCTTAAGAATTCTTCTAATTCCAGCAGTCCCTAAAGAACAGACTTCCAAATGCCCTCTGCGGCCCCAGCGTCAGGGAGGCCCCCTGGAAAGACAGCGTGTGAGTCCAGTCTCTGCCCTCAAACAGCTTTGCTTGGGTGCAGCTAGACAGTGGTAAGAGCAGAGGCCATGCAAAGCCAGACAGAGCAGGAAGGAGCAATATTGGGGTCAGTAGCTCCAAAGAGCCTCCCTGGCTGGGTTCATCCTCATCCTCATGGGGTGATGAGAGATACACACCAACCTCTCCATGGTGGGCCTGCACCGTACCCTTTGTTCTGACCAGGGACCAGGTTATTCAAGTTCAGGACCATACATCCCTTTTTATAATGGGGTGGAGTGTTTGGAAGAGGAGGAAGAGAAGGTATAGGGGCAGCAACTCAGTGCAGTACAACCTGACAATAACATTTATATGTCACTATGTGCCACATGAACTACTCTACATGAATTAGGATGATCTCACTTAATCTTCACCACAAACCCATTTTATAGATGAGGAAACTTAAGCTCAGGTCACACAGGCAAGAAGTGCCAAAGTAGGCATTTGACTCCAAGGGAAAGGTTCTAGCGAGTGCACCTATTTGCCGTGAAGCTTCATGGGGTCATTTCCCTTCTTTGGGCCCATCTGGCTATGGGAGGTTTGGATAAGATTCCTGAGGGCCCTGTCAGCTCTGACATCATGACCAACTTACCTTTTCTTCTTGGCCACTGGGAGGTTCTCACATAGTCACTGTGAAATAATCAGGGTCAAGACCACCAAACCAGAACAGGCCCCCATTTTCTGCAGACTCCTGGCCCCTGGGTTCTGTAGGCTGTGCTGTGCACTCAGGGCACTTTCAGAGAGGCCTTGCTGAACCTTAACAATGGATGTGACCCTCACCCAGGATGCACAGGAACTGAAGGTAACACTGGCACATGTACGCTGGCCAGACATGCTGCAAGGTTGGGCCTTGTGAAGCAAAGTGGCACCTGCCCTGCCTTATACCCTCTTATCACCAAGAGTATGTAACTTAATAGTGAACATTGTTTTGAGGGTTTATGGTGCTGGGTTGCTTATGTACATTATCTCATTTCAACCTCACAACTACTGTGTTACCCCAGTGTTAGAGGTGCTTAGATGCCCAAAACTCCATAGCTATTAAGGGATACAATACATCATACTGCTTACAGCTCCCTCCAGGGACCTGTCTTAGATCCAACTACCTGTAGACTCAGGACTCCACAGGCTGTGTAGCACTGTGCATGGCGTTTAAAGGCTGTCCCACAGGAAACAGCCTGCTAGCAGGGCAGCATGAAGCATTCCTCAGTGGGGAGGGTAGTCTACCAAGCCCAGTCATCAGGAGTTATTCTTGGTTGCTCAGGTGACAGCTCAGGTACAAGGAAATGAGTCAGTCAGGAAAATATGGGGCTTGTCTTGGTTTAGAGACACCATACCCCAAAGGAACTAATACCTTTTTGAGCGACTCCATAGGCATAGCTTCCAGCAACTCTGCAAGGGAAATGCCTGGCTGAGTCATTACTGGTAGCAAGCCCAAAGTTGTGGCATTTTAGCAAGTGTTTGTAGTTAATACATAGAACTCCAAGTTCTATGTATTAACTATGTAAACTCCAGATAATTTACTATTGGGGGTCATTTTTACCATGAGTAATGTTGCCTTGAAACAATTAATGTTCCACTTCCCTGGTTTCCAGGGGCAAAGAACTAGAAAGATAACCAAATGTCAAGTTCTGCAGGAAAGGAGAGGATTTCACCCGTTATTCATACTGCCATAACCTCTTGGGTCAGAATTGAATGTTTAAAAAAAAAAATAAACCCTCAACTTTTGAAATAATTCCACAGAGCCAAGCCTTTTAATAGTGACCCAGAGTCATCAAAAGCAGTTGAAGTGGCCTCAGGCAGGCCCAGGGCGCACGTGCTGCGGTGCGCAGGAGACTACTCTGTGGACCCCAGGGGGCCAGCAGCCATGAAGGGGGAAGGCATGTGGGAAGAAAGCAGGACTGCGGGACAGAGGCCTCGTGGCATCAGCTTCACGTGCCCACCCTCCACGCTGTGACGGGGAGACGACGTTGACTTTGTGCTGAGCCCAGGAGGGAAACACCACGCATTCAGGAGGTAACTGAGAGTCCAGGCTCCACTTAAGGCTCAATCCAAAGTAGGGTAGGGCATTTTTCTGGAACCCTCTACCCCCTCCCCATCCTGGCTCCTCCCTGCCTGCTGGCCATGTGGTCCATGTCAGCCCTCCACTCTTCCTCCATTGTCCAGATGCTACTCACTGGCATCCTTGAGGAACTCCCTTTTTTCTCTGGAGTGTGGCACTGGCGGGCCAAGTGGACACACTGTTTCTGTCCTCACGACGAGTGCCACACTCTCTCCTTGGAAGAGCATGAAGGTGACTCACCTCTCCTTACCACCAAAGATAAAAACGTGGAAAACCTTGAGAAGAAGAGAGTCCAGACACTCCTCCCCTTGCCAGCTCTCGGCTTTTTACAGCCTCTTCACCCTAAAACCCTAAGTCACAGGATCTAGCCTTGCCACCACATTCCTTCATTCCCACATTCCTGTGAGAGCAGCTCACGGGTGGCCTCAGCTTCAAACCTCCAGGCCAGGGACAGTCGCAGCCAGGTGTTGTGCCTGCAATACCAAAGCACTGGAGATGCTCTCAGAGGCCAGCAGTACCCAGAGCACAGACACGGCCAGAGCCACTCTGGTCTCAAAGATACCCCATGGTGGCTGGGGCTAGGTCCTGCCAGAAGTCTGGTTTGAATCTACGGGCAGTTGGTGGCGTGAAGCAGGAGTGACGTGGGTCCCAGGACCTTGAAGGCTACATCCACAACACCTTCTCAGAGTTGCTCTTCTCTAACAGCCACGTCTTCTCCCACATCTGGCTGAGCTCACGCCGCTTCCCTGCCCCTCTGCTCCTTGGCTGGCCTCCCTGGGCAGTTAGCAAAGACTACGATTTTGGAGCTGGGGGAAGGCAGGAAGGTAGACACCTGTCCTGATACGGCTTCAGAGATCACGGACGTGTGGGCCACCAAGTGGACATTCTCCAGATAACATGAAAAGAGGCATTCCACAGCATGTCTCTGCCCTCATCTTTACGCCACACCTCACATTCATAAACAGCCTTAAATTCCAGGGTTTTTCCCTCCAATGCTAAAGGCAGCTTGTCAGTAAGGTCACAGACATCCAGCAGGAGGAGTCACGGGGCTGCTTACCCGACAGCCCCAGACTCACCGCTCTGAGCTGCCTGCAGAGCACCTGTGCTTTCTAATACTATTAGAAAGCCTGAGATGCCATAAATAAGCCTACTATATTGCAATTCATTTCTGTATTTAAAATTTTTTTGTAAATGTATTTAGTGCTTACAATGAAAGACAATTTTTACCCCCACCTGAAAAAGAAGTGGAACTGATATCCAGCCCCCATAAAGCAGTTAAAAGCTCCAGAGAAATACGTACAGAGTGCCTTTAAAGAGATGGCCAGTGAGAGTCGGGGATGTTTTAGCACTCAAGTGACTTTCGGAAATTTGATGCAGAACAGCCACCCAATAAATAGCAGGGTCTCTAGATAAGTAGGGGGGACACCTCTGGTTGTGTTCAGCTGTTCCATCTGCAGGGCGCCTCTCCTGGCTGTCTGTTTCTGCACTACTCAACCTCAACACAACTTAAGTTGACCCTCTGAAAACTACAGCCTCAGTTATCCAGTTGCTGTGAGAGCAGCTCGTGGATGGCAGAAACAAGAAAGGCTTGAGGGAGAAGAGAGAGGGCATGGGGAGCTCAGAGCCATCATTCCCTGACTAGAGCTATGGACACAGCTGAGTCCCCCCTGGATTTGAGGAAGGGCAAAGAGAGGTCACCTGACAGGCTCTCCCAGGGCCTCACACTGCCATTATTTGGGACCTGGGCCTCTCCCTTGCCCCCACACCATTGTCTCTCTTCTCAAGTTCCCCACCCAAGCTACTCCCTCAATCCCTACAGGAACGTTCAGCAACCTCTTCAGAATGGCTGCTTGGCAAGGAAAGCAGCTTCTCTTCCATGTCAAGCAGCTTCCTTAGTTGAAGCCTCTGCCTTTGGCCTCCATCCTCATTCCCCCCAGTGAGGGCTTCCAGAAGCAGTGTGGGCTACAAATGCACAGCATGTACCACAGCCCCCACCTGTCCCAGAACAGATTAATAAAAGTTAATTTGTTAATAAAAGTTGTGTACCACCCATGTCTTGGTTCCCATCAAACAGCAGGTAACAACCCTGTCCTTCTGAAGACATGGCAGTGCTTGACCTATTTTTCAGGGCTCTTCTGGATGGCAGCCTCTATCTCTGGCATAGATAAGGACTTGGTGTCGGGGGAGCCCTGGACCCTGCCACATGCATTCTGATCCGTCAGTGGGTCCTGTCAGTGCCCAATGGAGCCTGGGATTGGTGACCGGAGAGAGGTGGAGGCTGTAGGGGACGGGACTGGAAGAGGTGGCAGCTGGTAGCTTGCGTGGGCACTGGGGCCTGGAGAGATGTTCTGGATGGCGGAAACATGTCTTCAGCCCCTGGGTCCTGGAAGCTGTCAAGAGAGGGAGCCCCGTGGCCAAGCTGCAAGGTGGGTGGGCAGCTGTGTCTGCTTCCAGTGTGGTGGGGTGTACAGGGAGCTGGGGAGTCTCCTGTCTGCCTGAGGCTGGCCAAGAAGGCATTGTTGATGCTCATGAGATCACAGAGGTAGCTGCGCAGGCCCCGCCCACTTCCTATAACCCTGGTTCTTACTGCCCGCATGCCAAGCCCCCGAGTGCCCTGAGAGCTGCTGGCCAGGGTTCAGGGGGCCGTGGGAGCTCAGGGAAGGCACCTCCCATGCTCCCCCAGGAGCAATCAGGACATGAAGGTCATAGGCCTCCCCTTTCCTCCTATTCTGTTTGACCTGAATGCCCGCCCCCAGCCATGGTAGCCGCAGGCCCTGACTGCCTCAAGGACTCTGTCTGAAAAGATGCAGACTGCGGGTACCTACCATGCAAACCAGAGGCTGGGTATGTGGGGTCATCAGTAGAGGGACAACCCCACACGGCCTTAGCTTAGGAGTGAGGCTTCTTGGCCTGGGGGTAGGGGGTGCAAAAGCCCCAGCTCTAACCACTGTTTTGCCCCTACTCACTTCTGCTCTCTGGATCAAAAATGGCAGACTCAGTCTAGACTGGGAGTTCTTAGGGACTGTCGGTGTCCTCACGTTATATGTACATATGCAAAGGCGTTTTTCTGGGGAGGGGCCAAGCTTTCATCAGTGTGCCAACAGTGTGAGAACCTCTGCTCCAAAACCCTCTGACCCTGCCCTGACAAGTTTCCAGCAATGGAGCTGCTGGCCAGTCCTGAGGGTCTGGGCTTAAGGCCTCCTCTCCAAAAGGCCCTCTTGAAAAGGTTTCTCTGGTGCCCAGGGGCAATCTTCCAGCAGGCAGGAAACCCTGAAGGCACCTAGGAAGCCCCTGGCCTGTGGATTGGGAGGGAAGACAGGACCCCTGGGGCCATTGGGAGGAAACTGGGGCCCTCAGAGACCTGAGTTCTGGTCTTTTCTGCCCCTCTTTGGGCAAATCCTCTGTCTTCCCACAGGCTGTGTCTGCTCAGTCCTGCCTGACTCCTCTTTCCCATCCTAGGCCTTGGTGGGTGGCAGGCCCCTTCTTGCTGGCCCTCTGTGCCCTCCCTCTCCCTCTGTCTGCCCCTGCCCGGCTCTGCCAATCTGCAAGCCTCCCAGGAGCTTTGGCGCCCTGAGTCCCTTGGGAGGCCCAGGGCCAAGCGGAGAGTCCAGGCCCTGGCAGGAGCGGCCTGCAGTGAGGAGTCCCCGAACCCCTGCTGAGGGACACTCCCATGGTCCCCAGGAAGAGATCAGCATAAACACAGGTGCGGGAGCCCCTCATGGAGCCTCGGGGTGAGCAGCCTCTACAAGAGCTCCCCCCAGAAGAGTCCCTGCCCAAGGACTCGGGCCTCAAGGCGGCTCCCAGGATGCACACTCTGTATGTGGGACACCTGAACCCCCAGTTCTCAGTGCCTGTGCTTGCTTGCCTGCTGCGAGACACCTTGGAGCGGCTTGAGCTGCCGGTGGCGCGGGAGCACATCGAGGTGGTGAGGCGGCCGCGCAAGGCCTACGCACTGGTGCAGGTGCCGATCCACAAGGCCACCCTGGCCTCCCTCCCCTGGCGCCTGCAGATGGCCTTGGAGGAGCACGTAATCCTCAAGGAGCTGGCAGCCCATGGGAAGGAGCTGGTGTTGGGCGAGGGCCGGGGGCCCTTTAACCGCAAAGAGGTGAGTGGGACTTTCCCCAGACGAGCCCCAAAGGTTCACCCTGCGGGAGAGGCCTGGGTCAAATGGCCTGTGGCGTGGGGGTGGAGGGGTGTCTTTGAGGAATGGGGACAAATCTGCAAACTTGGGGGCTGCTACTCAAATGATCGTGGCCTGAGGATGTACTGCCAGCTTCCACCCAGAGGGACATTGGCCCTTGCAGTGTAACTCCAGCCCAGGTGCTTGCGTGAAGAAAGGCCGAAGGGTGGCCTCCTCTTAAATCCTTTTACATTTCAGCCTCCGGGCGTGGGAGGCCGTAGGATACACAGGGGTCCTCACTTCTCCTTGACCCCCCTCGTTTGCTCAGTTGACAGACATGCCCACTGTGTGCCAGGAGGAAGGCAGGTTACAGGCCCAGGTCCTGCCCTCCGGGAGCCCTGCGTCTGTGAGCAGAGCCGGATACAGCTGGTCACACAGCTGCGAGGTGGCTGTGCTCGGAGCTGTGGGAGGACAGAAAGTGTTCACACTGCTCTCTGAGGACAAAGTCACAGGGGAGTGAAACCCCAGCTGGCACTTAGGGAGTTGGACAGGCACTTGAGGGAAGGACATTCCAGGCAAGGGACATGCAAAAGAACCCTGGGGGTGAAGAGGAATGTTGCATTTGCAGAAGGACAAGCCATTTCTTGTTGTTGGAGCTCAGGATGAAGGCTGGAGGTGGGGAACCAAGGAAGGAGCTAGGCCAGAGTGGAGGGACCAGGTCACCAAGGCTGTAGACCAAGGCAGAGCAGGGCCAAAAGGCTGGCTTTATTGGGGGATGGGAAGTTAGGGCAGGTCACTCCGTGAATCAGACAATCTTGGTTTTTCTTCTTTCGGAGTGAAAACCCATGGTGTTTAAACTGTTGCAGAACTAACCAGGTCTGTGACTCACATTTCAACACGTGTGCCTGATGTCACGTTTGTATGACAATTTTCCTGTTTCTAAGACTGATAAAATTGTCTTCTCTGTGGAGCTGCAGGGTGGTAGGGACATGCTCCCGCTCACACTCAGGAAAGGGCTGTGCGGGGCCGTGACAATCTGACTGCACGCAGGGTCAGTGAGGAGGGTGGCTGGGAAGGGGGAAGCCTGGAGGCAGGGAGACCAGGGAGGGGCTGGCTGGGAAGGCCCAGGCTGAGAAGTGGCCGTGAGGAGGCTCATGCCCGGAGACCTCAAGCAGGGCAGAAACCACGGAAGGGGACTCAGGAGGGGCAGAGGAAAGTTGAGTTTCGGGGGGACTTTTCAATAGTCTGGAAAGTGGTGGGCTAAGGTTCCAGAGAGGTCAGGAAGGGGGTGGGGGCTCTGGGAGCCCCTCTCAATTCAGAGACCTGCAGCTCTGTCACAGGGGACTCGGTGCTGAGATACCTCCTGGAATGACCTGGTCCTAGGCCTTGCAGGCCCATCTGCAACCCCGGTGGGAAGAGATTGGCCCACAGGTGTCCCAGCTCCCAGCCTCAGGAAGCAGAAACCTCTTCTTACCTACCAGGCACCCCACAACTTGCCCAGGAAGAGAGCCCAGCCCGCAGGGGAGGGAGCGGTGGCTGGTCCGAACCCTTGATCCAGCAGGGTTCCTTGCACTGGTTGCAGGAGGGTGGGCGGAATTGGGCGCTAGGCCTAGGAGCAGGTATCAGGATACCTGTGGGGGCTGGACCCCAGAGAGGGGTGCAGCTGAGGGTTCTTGCAGTCTGTCTCAAGGTTGAGGGTCCCAACTTCTGCCTGGACCCATACACTCTGCTTCTGATCCCCACCCCAGCAGGAGGAAGACGCTGGCCTGAGTCCAGGCCCCAGCCCTGGCCCAAGCCCCAGGCCCAGCCCCAGCCCCAGCCCAGACTCCAGCCTCCCAATGCCTACCTGGCCTACAGCCACGTCGCCTAAACGGCCCCGGGCCCGGCAGCAGCAGAGCTGCCACAGCCGGCCCAGCGGCGTGTGCTCCGACAGCGCCATCATGCGCCAGGAGATCCTGGGCCAGGAGCAGCTCTTCCAGGGCGCCTTCCTGGGCAGCGAGACACGCAACATGGAGTTCAAGCGGGGCGGCGGCGAGTACCTGAACCTGACCTTCAAGCACCACGTGCGGCGCTACGTGTGCGCCTTCCTGAATAGCGAGGGCGGCAGCCTGCTCGTGGGCGTGGAGGACAGCGGCCTGGTGCAGGGCATCCGCTGTAGCCACCGCGATGAGGACCGCACGCGCCTGCTGGTGGACTCCATCCTGCAGGGCTTCAAGCCCCAGGTCTTTCCCGACGCCTACACCCTCACCTTCATCCCTGTGGTCAGCACCTCCACACCCAGTGTGCCCCTCAAGGTGAGCCTGCCGCACAGGAAGCCCTCCGGGTCTAGTTTTGTCGTCTGTCGTCACTCAACAAGACGGTGGCCCATGCGACTCTGCCGAGTGTGCCAGGGCAGGGAGCGGGGGAGCAGGGCACAGAAGAGAGGCTGGGGCGGCCCCTGCGCCAGCCCCGCCGAGCTGCCCTACAGAGCCAGAGGGAAATGAGGCGTGGTCTGAGTGGGACTGGGGGCTGCCAACTGTCAGGTGCAGCACCTGCCAGAGCTGCTGTCGCCCTCACCAAGGTGATCCGCCTGACTGTGCATGGCCCCAAGGCCCAGGGCGAGCCGCAGCTCTACCAGACGGACCAGGGGGAGGTGTTCCTGCGGCGCGAGGGGAGCATCCAGGGCCCACTGTCCGCCAGCGCCATCCAAGAGTGGTGCAGGCAGGTAAGGAAGCCAAGGGGGTGGGTGCGGTGGGGCCAAGGTGACCCCAAGCCCCTGGGCCACTCACCGAGCAGTCTTGGGCAAGCCCTCGTGTTTCTCTGGGTCCTGCATCACCCCATGATTACCTAGGGGGGTGGAATTAAAATTACCCCACTCACATCCCCCACTCCACTGTTTCATGGCTGGTGGAGAGGGAGGGGCCCAAGTGGTCTCCCCTTTAAAATCTAGTGTCCCACTTCCCGTGGTGCCTGCAGTAGCCCCCTCGGGCGGTTAGGCATTCAATCCTGAGTGGCTGAGGAAGCCGGGAGATCTGAGTATTGCGAAGTCACCAGAAAACCCCAAGGACCATGTATTACATTTTAGGGGAGGCCCTAAAGAAAGGAGGCAGGGGTGCTGGAACAGTCCCAAGGAAAAGCCTTTTCAAGAGGGGAACATCGGGTGGTGGCAAAGCAGAGGGTGGCCGGCGTGGGGGCTGGCCAGCCTATGCCTGCCCCACACAGGGAGGCTGCGGAGGCTGGCCCTGTCCCCAGGCCCGGCTCGCTGGCCGCTCCCCTCAAGCCCCCCAGGGCTGACGTGGTCATGGGGGCAAAATGGCCGAGGGACCTGGTCCCTACCTAGCTGAGAGGCCCCCAGGCTCCCTGGCCTTGCCTCCCTCAGTTCGAGCCCAGGCAGGAGGGTGGGCTGGCCGAGATGGTGCCGGCTCGGCCACCTGCTTCTGCAACGCCCTCAGAAGTGGACGGTGGAGCTGGGCAAGCTGGAGGAGAAGGTGAAGGCGCTGACCGCGGAGAACGAGCAGCTCCAGCAGCAGCTGCGGCGGCACTGGCCCGTGTCCTGCACCTGCTGCGTCCTGTGAGGGCTCTCACCAGCGGCAGGACGGCGCTGCGCCCTCCGCAGGGAGACGCAGGGATTGCCTGTCGAAGCCTAAGTCCTACCAATAAAACCCCTCGGGCCACTCGGAGCTCCTTCCACACTGCACCTCGGCTGGGCCCCACGCGGCTTCAACCCGGAGCAGACCCTGGTCTGTGTAGCTAAGAAATTGCTCTCAGCACTGTCTCCAAGGAACCTTACTTTCACTAAGAACTTGTAAAACCTTGGCCAGAGTTACCCTAGGGCTGCGCTCTAAGGGACTGTCCCTCTCCCTAAAATGCTCATTTGGCCCAGGCTGGGGTCTGTGACTCCAGCTGCCTAGACAGTGCCAGAAAAGACACGTCATCTCGTGTCTCGCATCTCGTGTCATCTCGCAGATGGCGAGACGTATTTGGTGACTGTGGTTACAGGGCAAACAGGCCACCCTGCAGTCCGCACCCCGGACTTGCCAGAACCTGTGGCTGTCAAAGCTCCTTAATAAATTACAGGTGCTTGGGGCAAGAATGGCTCTTACTGGGACACTTGGTCAGCTGGTTAGCCCCGCCCCCAGCCCTGGGCTCCTACCACGCAGGGCTGTTGGGGAGAGGGGCAGTCAGGCTGCAGTCCAGCTCTGTCAAAGACCTGCAGCCAGAGGGCAAAGTGCTGTACCTCTGCTTCAGCCGCTTCACCTAAGACGATGACAATGGGCAGGGGCATTTGTCATCTGTGCTGGCTATGGCAAACAGCAGCACCTGCACAGGAAGGGTCCGACTCCCATTCCAAGCCCTCTCCTGCCACTGGAGAGGATTTCTGCTCTGGCCATTTCCCCTGCTATCTCCACCAGCCAAGCCAGGCCCCAGAAAGCCAGTCCGGTCATGCTGTGCCTGCACCCAAAGCCCCCAAGGTCCCCACCTCATCAAAAGCAAAGCCCAACAAAGGTCCGCACAGTTCTCCACAACCAGCCCACCTGACCTGGACCTCCTCTGCCCCTTGCACAAGCCATTCCAGCTACCAACCAGCTTGTCTCATTTGCACACCTGCCTCTGGGCCTTTGCACTGGCAGCTACCCTTGCCTGGAACACCCCCCAGATAGCTGCATGGCTCCCATTTCCTTTCCTCTCTGCCTTCAAGTCCATGCTCAACTTTCCTCTGCCCTTGTTAAATTACACCACCTCCCAGCATGGCCATGCCTCCCTTTCCTACTTCCATCTTTTTTCTCCATCTTTTGTCACATTGTGTGGATTGGTGTTTCCCCCACTAAAACACATGCTCTGAGGGACAGTGATTTGGGTATGGCTGGCATGTGGTAGATACCCAGTATCTGTGGATGAAACATCAAGGATACTCCTAAATTTGGGGTGTGAGCCACCAGAAAGGCATTTAACCTTGTCAAACGGCATTTCACAGGACTGGGGTCCCATGGAACACATTTCAGTTGATTCTCTACAATTTCCTTGATCTAGAGGCCCTTGGCCACATCCATAGAGTAGACAGACAAGAACAGCTTTGGGATCCCAGCCCTTCCGCTTGCCAGCCAAGTAACATCTCCTAACCAGTCAAAAGTGTTCTGGGGACAGGTGCGGTGGCTCACGCCTGTAATCCTAACACTCCAGGAGGACAAGGCAGGCAGATTGCTTGAGCTCAGGAGTTCAAGACCAGCCTGAGCAAGAGTAAGACCCTGTCTCTACTAAAAATAGAAAAATTAGCCAGGCATCATGGCACATACCTATAGTCCTAGCTACTTAGGAGGCTGAGGCAGGAGGATTGCTTGAGCCCAGGAGTTTGAGATTGCAGTGAGCTATGACACCATTACACTCTACCTGGGGTAACAGAGCAAGACTCTGTCTCAAAACAAAACAAAACTACTCTGAGACCTGGTTTTCCCACTTAGCAAACAAGATACAACCCCTGCCTTGGCTACCACTCATGTTGGTCACAGAGACCAAATACGATAATGGGCGCATGTATCGTGACAAGTTACCAAACCCCTGTTACCCACCCACTGAGCCGCCCCAGGGTCACCAAGCCTACTTGAGAACTACATAAATAAAGAATGCATTACTCGAGAAATCAAGAGTGGCATTTGTGAGCACCTTCCACATGCCAGGCCCAATGCTAGATACTAGTCCAGGCCTCACAGTCCTTGGAAATGCTTTTATTGGGAAACAGCGGGTTTCTACAAAAGCAGGGTGAAGTCAGGCTTCAGTTCAGCTGCTACAGATTGCTAAGAACCTACCCAGATCCCATAGATTGAAGGATGTTTACTCTAAGGACACGAACCACAATGCTGGGTTTCCTCCCCACCAGGGAGAAGCGTCCAGGCACTGGTCAGTAACACCGGGCATGGAGGGCTGTGCAGTCCACTCTGGCCATCCCTAGTACAGTCCTGTCTGCCACAGCCAGGGCTGGCGGGGCTTTGCAAGCTCCAGAGAGCCACGTGGGGTCCCTTCTCTCCAAATGGTTGTGCAAGTGGCCAGCACGTGACAGTTGTCAGTGACGCCATCTGAAAGGCAGGGGCAGGACTGTGACCACTGGGAGGCTTTCCCAACCTACTGCACATCTGAGTGCCCATGTTATGGAGCACTTACTGCCACCAGTGGGCATGTCAGACCCTCAGTTTGGGGATTTTTTTTTTAAAATGAAGACTGATGAGACTACCAGGTAGGAAAGGAAGTTAGAATTATGCTCAATCAGCTACATTCCAAGTACCAAGGCAAGTATGAAGATCTCTGTGTGAGTGAAGGTATGTTGTCTCCGAGAAAGATAAAGGTGGCTTGCTGTTGGAAAGGAGGCAGGGACACCGGGTTCTGGGCCTCGGGTGGTGGTGGGCCTTGGACCAGTGAGTGGAAGGATAAATGAGAGCCCAGTTCTTTTCTAGATCTCTCTGATGTAGGGGCTGGGCCAGATGGTGAAAGAAGGAAACATTTTCCTCCCCAGCCTCCAACTTCTCAAATATCAGTGAGGAATAAAGGCTGTTAGCGCTGATAAGCAATCAAGCCTGAGATCTGAGCTCCTGCCTCCCGCAGAGTCTGCAGAGGAGCCAGCTCATCTGAGCAGCTGTGCTCAGAGGCCAGAGGGTGTCCCCAACACCCCACGATGTCACTGTGAAGGACAGTGACTTTCAGCTGCTGGGCCTCAGAAGGCTACCGGTGGAGGAAGAGCCAGGGCACAAAGCAGTCTGTCTGCCGCCCCCTGGCTGTGTACGTGGAGTGCCCAAGTCCAGTGAGCTGCAGAGGAAAAGACCTTCCTAAATAACACATGTTCTTTCCCACCCCGTTCTCAACAGCAAGCAGCATACTCAGCACTCATGTGTCGTCTAATTGCTCTCTTTATGTGTCAAGAACCTATATTTGAAGGCTTTTTAGAAAATGTTGGTTCCTATTAAAATCAGGGCTCATTTCTTAGTTTGTAAACAAATTATCAGGTTGTTCACTCACTCGAGGCTGCTCGCCTGGAGGGGCGCCGGGCCCCACGGTGAGGCGACTGTGCACAGCACGCCCAGCCCGGCGCTCACGCATTTTCCAGCCAGCCAGCAACACAGAGAACGGAAAACAAAGCATGTCTCTTGTTCTGCATTATTTATTTCTTAAGTTAGAGTACACATTGAGTCCAGCCAGAATATAGTACGCACATGGCTGTGCCTATTGTTAATGTCACATTAAGAAAATAGCTTTTATATTGCATTTTGACTGCAGTAATAACACCATCCAGAAAGAAAAAAGTACCCTCGAGTCAAAGCTGTTTATGAGAGGGTGTTAGAGGCAATTTCTCCAAAAGACTCTTTGTTCTTTTTAAAGTGACCCCTTGATGCAAGGAGTGTCTCCCAGCCCAGGAATGGAAGGGCAGCCAGAGGCAGGGAGATTTAAGATCACACTTCAAAGAGAGAGAGACTTCTTGCTGTTTCATGTGACACCAAACTGACCGTCCATTTAGATGACGAGGACCAACCAAAAGTTGGCACTAAGAGTCCCCACAACTCAGGGCAGTATCGAGATTCTGTCCCTGGCTTCACTGCTTCTTAGAGGCAAGCAGCCCTCGGGTTCCCAGCACCAAGCATCGGAAGTACTAGCTAAAGTTATCCTGTGCTCATCCAGTCCCCGTGGCACACTTTATAACGGTCTGGCGTCCAAGAGAAAGCAACAGGCAGTGACTCGAGGTAGCTGGGGGAACAAGGTCATCGATGGGGCACTCTACCAGCCCCAGCCACCCTCGGACCCCGTCCGGACGTTCCGCTTCTCGTCTCAGAAACTCAACAACCGTAAAGGAGACTGTTGCGCAGCAGGCAGTACACCACGTAGAAGGAGCCAGTACACATGATGGGACATGCAAGTGACAAAGTTTCCCCAAACCTTTCCCCTATAATAAAATAATCTCAGTAAAAACATAATTTAAAGGAACTGTCAAAAGCCGAGTGTAAAATCAAAGCTGTAAACGCTACCGAAGTTTGAAGGCTCTCTTGAAGAATCATCCCTGTTTAAAAAAAAAAAAAATGTTTTAGCAATGATAAGATGCATGTTACAGTAGAAAAGTCAGAATTTAGTCAGCCGCCATGGGAAACTATGCCTGCTTTTCATGGCAGAACAGGAGCCTAATAAGAAGAATTAGAACCTAATTTGTAATTCCTACAGAGCCGTACATTTTCAAGACCTCACATATCAACCTCTACAGCTGTCCTAACACAAGCATTATTTTCCCACAGCACCAAGCCTCTTAAAAGTGCCATTGACAAGCAATTCTCCACTGGTAAGGCAGTCAGAAGTTCCATATAATGAACGTAGTATCTACCTCCTGTACTGTGAAAGTTTCTTTTTATATCAGTTTCTTACATTGTCTAACAGCCTACGGCAAACTGTATGGTCAGGAGATGATGAGTCCATCTGTGTTAAATGCTTCTTCCTGCTGACCCTATCTCACTGCCCACGCCCACCTGCCCATTCAAGGTTATCACAGGTCAGGCGGCCCATCCGCCAGGGCAGAGGGGAAGCGGTCATGATCAAAAGATCATGATTCAAAAGATCAGACCAGCACTGGACCAGCACGAGAGGCCCTCGGGGGTGAACATATGGCACAGAGGATGCAGGGCAGTCCGCCTGCCCATGCCACAGGGCAGCAGCTTGTCTCACCTATGCCCGGGGATCTGTGGGATCCCCGGAGTGGGACCACACCCATATCTCTGGTTCTCCTTCTAGACCCCACAGACTCCGACACCCCCACCCGCTTCTGATGCTCTCAGAAGCTCTCTGATGCTCTGTACTTCTGTCGACAGTCCACTCAGTCATCTTAAAGGGCTTTTATGATCTGTGCCAGTGCCCATAGTTAGTGCACTTCGTAAACTGACAAACCCTGTTACTATGAAGCCAAACGTTCAAAGTGTTCAATGATTGTCTGGATTTTGAAGGATTTCCAGAATAAGCAGTCATCTATACAAAACTGTTTTACAAGCAGTATTAAAGTACTTCCTGATGAAAGCTTGAAAGCAAAAAATGAGAAATGCCACATTGTCATACCTGTCATCTCTTTCAAGATCTCTAAGTTTATAGCTACATGAAACAACAGGGTCTAAGAACCCAGTTCTGCCCAAATCGGTCAGTTTGGCACCTGAATATAGCGATCAGTAATGACACAACTGCCCAGTGACCGGGGTTCCCCTGTAGCCCCCAGAGCGGGGTGGGCGGGTGTGCTGTAACTGGGAGGGGGACTTGTCCACTTGATACCCACACTGACCTTGCCACTTTCGTTCTCTGGCAGATAAATTTCAGCACTAAACTTACATGGTATTCTTGTAATCCTAGCGTGTTATTTTTTTTTTTAACTAAATCTTAAAAATATCACTTACATTACAAGATCAGTCATTATTTATTGATGGAAACTTCAACTCAGTGATTTCAGAGTCAGGAGAGCTGCTTCCACTTCTGTCACTATAGGTGTCCCTGTAGAATCAGATAGTTCATTCATCATCTCGCCACAAAAACTCACTTTACTTCCCTGTTTTTGTAGCCACCATTACTACAGGGACACTTATCTGCACACAGCAGAAATTAGAAAGGCTCCTTACTG